TTGACAGGTGATAAGAGATACTGAGTAAGCATGATAGAAGAGTGTTCATTGGTAAATTCTGGTTAGAACGTCGATACATGTCTGTGCATCGTGCCATCTCCGGGGATATCTGGACTTAACAGCTGAGTTGGGGTGATAACGGAAATGGTACCCGCTGTAACAATGACCCTTAAGATCAGCGTTTCACGCTCCTGTATTTGCAAACTTACTCTGCGTCCGTCCTCTTAAGCCAAAAGTCTATTGCGCCATCTCACTTCCCCCGTCGTAGCGCCTCGCTAGGCGTCTGATCATCGACAATGGAGTCGCCATTGCAAATCTATCGTCGTGAGGCACTAGCCGCTCCGGCTGATCGATCAGAGATGGTCCTGCAAAGCATTGTTATCCTCGTCGTGTCGATTCTTTCCATTCTTGGAGCTGGTTGGATTATCGTTAGCTTCTGTGTAATATATCACGCCCTTGCTTCACGAGACAAATAGCTTACGATGCACAGGTCTTCAAAAGTCTCCGGTCCTTCCGCCATCAACTCATTCTGTTCGTCCTGATAATCCTCCCGCTTCAAATTGTTTATACTGATAATCTTCAGTGGACTTGCAGCTAGCGACTTTCTCATGGCGCTCAACTTTCTCTCGTCGACTGCCATGAACATCAATGGCAACGAGATCGGTGCCCCAGAACACCAAACATTCTGCAGTTTCAATGGCTTTATGACCCAAGTCTTTGTCATACAGACCGATTACTGGGTGTTGACTATTGCACTGTGCACCTACGTTATTTTGGCTGGTTACAAATCGTTATCGTCATGGGTCCAGGATCAGCGCATCTTGCTCTCTTGTCTTCCTTGGGTACTTAGCCTTCTTTGGGCTGGTATTGGATTGAAACTTGCAGGATACGGTGATATTGGAGCTTGTATGTCTCATAACGTTGAGAGGTGACTTGTGCTGATTTTGATAGGGTGCTGGTTTACTTCCGATAAAGTCCGCCTCCTCGCCAACTTCGTCCCGCGGTGGGTAATCATAATCACCATCCTCTCCATGTACGCCCGTCTGTACTTCATTCTCCGAAAGTCGCACAAGAGTTTTATCTCACTTGGAAACTCAAACTCGACATCAGAACCCTCCAGAGAGCGGACTGTTACACGGTCGAACCACGATGTCTGGCGTTATCACGAGTCCGATGCCGCTGGCCGTCGAAGACTGCAAAGGGTCTGTTACTTCCATTACTGAGAGCGCATGGCGGAGTGCTAACTAGGAGTTAGATCGCACGATTGATGATTATGTATCCCGTTGTGTATATGCTGGTCTGGACACTGCCAACGGCCATTCGGGTATATCAGACCATCAAGCATACTCCAGCTCCATTTGCATTGCAGACAATTGACAAGGTCAGAATTTCGCCCAGATTTTCAGGCATCTCTAACATGAGTAGGCCTGCATTGTGTCACAAGGTCTCGTCGATGCGATAATCTACGGCGTCAATGAGTCTTCTCTGAGTCGATGGCATGAGCTCATATTTCCGTCCAGCGATAAGGATGTCACAGAGACTGTTACATCCAGAAACATCGATACTAGGGTGTCAACGCGGGTACACTCAAACGCACCTGTTATGTCTTCTGCGTCTAGTAGCAAAGTCATAATCACAACGTCGATTGAGCAGGAGACAAGCAGTATTGATAAAGATGACGGACTGGAGCTTACAGAAATGAGGCCGGTTTTTAGGCCAAACTCAGGCTCACGATAGAGATGGCGCTTGTAGATAGATGGATAGATAGTGGCTTAGATATACATCATAAACTAATGGCACGCGCGATGTCCTCTTCTGCCGATTTGACTTCACGCAGAAGATATAAACCACTAACGAACGTGGCAGTTTCTTCATAGGTCATAGGATGGAGTAGGTTGCCAGTCTCTTTACCCACTTGCGAATCCAGTCTATAGCAACTAACTTAGTACTTGGCCCATCTAACACTTATTCCAGATACACTGGGGGCAGTTGCTGTAACAATATCCACCGCACCCAGCCTGACCATTAGGGCATGTACAGCAAGTGCCACGTAACTCAAGACCCCTAACGATGAGGTCGTCAGCCTCGGCATTCCTCTTCTCGGACGGGACAGCCAGAGCGACTGTTGCGGACATCATAATGTACGTGATCGCGGTTGTGAATCTCATGATGACTGCTTTAAGTGAGTAAGTCGGGGAACGCAGGTAATGGTCATAAGGTCTTACCTTGTTGGAGACTCGGGTTATGAACTAGAGAGATGCTCGGATTGTGATGTATGATATAGCTGAATGAATTAAGAATGAGGAATCAACATGATCTATGGATGGTATTGTGATCTTATATTCCGATACCACGCAGTACACTAGCTGGACTTGCAACTATCGATTCGCTGCTTTACGATACAGTCCTATCCCCATATTTCGTCCCGCGGCCGCGTCATGTTATACGAACTAGAACTTTAACAAAGCGCTTTGAACAATGAACCTTGCCCTCTTCATCCGAACATACCTCGTGGCCTGAGAGGATCGTCGTTCCGAGTTCCGACGGTCCTGCAGTTTATACCTAAGCACAACCTGGCCTAAGAAACTTGGAATATCGGTGAGCCATTAATTTTTAAACTCCAGAGGTCGCAATATTTCTCGCCATTGGATGTAATCAGAAACCTCGTATTTCGCATGTCTCAGCCGCTGCGGGGATCGGCTATGACGGCCCGTGCCGGTATCCGAAACCACTCTGAGTCCGAAGAAACCTGTTTAAAATAGCTCGTCGTGCACGCATCAGCAGCTTGCAAGCTCAAGTCTCTTCTATGATCGAGAATCTCGCTCGACTCAACGTTCGTTGATGCACTCGTCAGGGCTCCTTGCTTAGGTGGTCGCCACGGACTTTTGGGTGAAAGCGGTTTATTGCCATGACGACCCTCTGAACCTTGAAACAAGTTGTCATTGCTAGCCGTCTTCGGCAGATTGTGTTCTGAAGCAATAAGCTGAGGTACATGAGCGTGTCCACGCACCAAAGGAACCATCATGAGCTCCGGGGTTCTTCATTCTTCTGAGGATTATCTTTCATGTCATCCTCTTTCCAGTTCACATACCACACGCAACCTGAGAGCTTCTCCTTTTTTCCGGGTCAATCTTCCGAAGCCGAGTGTGTGCCATGTAGCTGTTATATCTCTACTCATTACTCTAAACTAATAATCTCAGCGAAGAGTCCGAATGCGAGTATGGAAGTATTGTGAGACACAAAGTGGACTGAATTATCGAGCTTGAATTTGTTCCGATCCGGTGCGAGAGCGTTTCAAGTAATGCTATAGGGAAGGTAGAACTTTAGCTTGACCTCGGAGGCAACCTTTAAGACCGCGGTAGTAATTCTGTGAGATCGTCATGAAGATCATTCATACAGAAGATATCTGACGTTATATAATTAATGGCTGCCTGTAACCTTCCATTCGATGATGCTGAGTTGGTAACAAGTTGCGCAAATTGCTTTAGCCAGCCATGAATTCGGTAAGCTAAATAGGAACGCTGTAGCTCCTGGAAAATATTCGAAAGTGTCAGGTAACCATGTATTGTCCCTCAAACTAATCGAGCTTTTGCAAAATATCTTTATAATCATAACCTATCTCTTGCTCAAGGGTTATCTAAAGATTCGTCCAAGCTGGCGTATCACACTTCATCACTAAGATAGACTCATCCGTCCTCTGGAGTCAGAGAAGTAATACCCAGTCACCAGCGACTAATGTAAGCAAGCTTTATGCATTTTAGCGGGGTCAATAGCCTTAAAATGCATGTTTCAATGCTGAACGGTAGTCGTCCGATAGCTCTGAGCTAGCGCCGGATGAACACCGATCTCGTCGGACATCCTCCAGATCTGCACTATAGCTCAAAAACCATGCTCACTCCAGCAAAAGGGCAGAGACATACGATTATCGACTACACATGTAATCACAATGCCAGCCCCTATTCTTCCGCCTGCTGCATGGAATTCCCATATGCACTGCTTCGATCCGGAGCGTTTCCCTTTCAAAACAACGCGCGCTTATACCCCGCAGCCAGCAGTACTGAAGGACCTCATTGAGAACTCAAAAGCGGACAATGTGATGCTTGTGCAAGCAACCATTGAAGATGGATATGCAGGTTTATTGGAAAACTTACAGCAATGTCCAGAGATGTATCCCGATAAGCGTGTACTTGGGACTATCTTTTGGGATCCTGGAGATCAAAGTCTGAAGAGCCTCACTGAAAATGAGTTTGAGAAGCTGCATCACGCAGGGGTTCGATCTGTAAGAATTCACGGCTCATATGGTGGTTCGGGAGATGATGTATCTTGGGTGGTTCAGCAATTTCTGGACGTCGCTTCTCATTGCCCTCTGCGTAGATACAACTGGAGTATCTCAGCCCAACTACCCCTCGCGACGTGGTCTTCAATTGCAGAAACCCTCTCTTCCCATCCAGACCTCAAAGACATCCCCATCATCATCGATCATAACGCTTCCGCAACACCACCCGACATCAACGCCCCCGTCTTCACCTCCCTTCTTCATCTCCTCTCCTCCCCAAACATGTACATCAAACTCGGCGCTCTCCACCGAAGAAGCACCCCAATTTCCCAAATGGAGCACATAATAAAAACCATCGCAAACACTGCGCCTAACTCAATCCTTTGGGGGAGTGACTGGCCGCACTGCAACGCTGCGATCCGAGGACTTACCCCGACGCCTCCGCTTGGAGTAGACACAGACCAGGAGCTTGAACTGTTGAGTGATTGGCTTACGGAGGAGCAGTGGGAGCGTATGCTTGTGTCGAACCCCGAACGGATATTCGGCACGCGGGGGAGAAGCTAGTGAGTGTGGGGAGAATCTGGGGTCGGGATGGGTCCGATGGTCTTGAGTCGGGGAAGAAGTTGGGGAATTTTGGTGTATAAAGACAGACATCCTCATGAGAATCATCAAGAGAATCATATCAATTCAAATCCCTTCGTTCTTCTAACCAGTCGTTCACAAGATGGATAATTCTAAATCCCAAGTAGACGACGTCACCGTCCTCAAATCCACGGGTGAAGAAGTCGAAAATGTCCCTACCAAACAACTCACCCTCCTGGATACCTACCGCTCCTACACCCCCGAATTCTCCAAAGAAACAGAAGCTCAACTCGTGCGAAAGATTGATCTTCGGCTCCTTCCACTAATCGTCACCATTTACCTCTTCAACTACCTCGATCGCAATTCCATCACCCAAGCTCGTCTTTATGGCCTTCAGGAAGACACTCATGTCAAGGGTGCGACGTACCAGACGGCCATTTCTATCTTTTCTGCTGGTTACACCATGATGCAGCTTCCATCCACAATGATTATGACAAAGATGCAGCCTCATATTTTCTTAGTATGTATTTCTTTGCGGGTTTTGGGGTATGACTAATTTGTGTAGCCTGGTTGTATTATTCTCTGGGCTTGCGTCAGTGCCTGTACATCTGCAACCTCTAGTCCAGCAGGTCTTCTCATCGTTCGTTTCATCCTCGGTGTCGTCGAAGCGCCATTCTTCCCTGGAGCTATATACTACCTGAGCACATGGTATACCAAAAAGGAACTCGGTATTCGAATGGCGTTGCTGGTCTGTGGCATTCTTCTGTCCAATTGCTTTGCCGGTTTGATCTCAGCTGGTATCCTCTCAGGCATGGCTGGCGTCGGACATCTTGCCGCATGGCGATGGCTCTTTATACTTGAAGGCCTTGCTACTATCGTCATTGGAGTAGTCGCGTTCTTCCTTCTTCCCGATTACCCAGGCACTACGAGCTGGTTAACTGAGGAAGAAAGAGTCGTGGCGCAGGGTCGCCTGGCTGTTGATGCTGGAAGTGAAGAGATCCTTGGTGAAGAGGAGATCACTATGAAACAAGCCATACTCTCAGCCGTTCGTGACTATAGAGTATGGTTGTTTGCCTGTCTTCAAATGTCGACAACCGCATCTATTTCATTCTCTCATTTCTTCCCTACCCTGATCAAGCAACTCGGCTTCAAAAACAACACCATAGTGCTTCTTCTTACCGCACCACCGTACCTCTTCTCTTTCATCTGGGCTCTCAGCTTCGCTTGGGATGCCGATCGACGACAGAAGCGATCTCCCCACGCTGCTATCTCTGGTCTCACAGCCATCGCCGCTACCATCGCACTAGTCGCCATTACAGACCAGAAATGGCCCCGCTACGCCTTGACCTTTCTCGTCAGCGCTGGAACATTTGGTATTTACTCCACGACATATCCTTGGCTGTCGTCGACGATCGTTCAACCACGAGTCAAGCGTGCGGCTTCAATTGGTATCGCGAACACCTTGGCCAACAGCGCTTCACTCTTCGCAAACTACTTCTGGCTTGACCAGTATGGCCCTGACTTTCGTGTATCTTGGGCCTGTATCTTGGCATTTCAAGGGTTGGGATTTGCGTGTATCATGGGGTTGAGGTATTCTCTTAAGCGGGCAAACAAAGCTTTCGATGAACTGAGTGTAACTGTGGACGAGACTAGTGAGGAGAGTGTGAACAGGCTGGATAAGGATTCTCAGAGAGCGGTTCTGAATGGATTCAGGTTCATTACTTAGAGTAGTTACACAAAGACGTGCGTGCCCACCTCGGGGAATATGCAGACAGCGTGTCTCACAGAATATGATGAAGCGCGAATAGCAACAAGAACTAGAATCCGCAAAGTTGGTGTACAAGTATAATTGAAATATAGATACAAATTCAGCATATGCTTATGAGCAAATATGTTCCCCCTCTCAAGTCATATTGATCATAACAGTCTTTCTCTCCATCCAAGAAGTCAAACCAAAAAGACGGCACTCTCGTCCCAACTCTTTACACCCACCAAAAGGCGTGATGAGAAACATCTGACTAATACAGTTGATTCCAACCATTCCCTTCACCTGATTGTACTGCAACTTATCCAGAAGCGGACGAAATCTCGTGTTCGGATCATCCACATCACCAAACACCTTCGCCCGTGCCTCCATCGCACCTCGATAGGCCGCAACAAACCTGTCATAGACACCCTCTTGCACCTAAACCCGACTACAAACAATACACCCCTATCACATATTCTGAGAAATATTATCCACCGTCTCAGTAAAATCCTTACCTAATTCGCAGCCATCAAAAATAATAGCTGGATTCTTACCGCCCAGCTATAAGCTAGCCCGCTCAAAGTTCGTAGCTGCGGCTGCTAGTTCCTTCTTCTCAATGGACACGGAGCCTGTAAATGAGACTTTTTGGACGCGTATGTGGCGCGAGAACAGAGAGCAGAGATCCCGTAGAGCCGTGGCCAGTGAGGACTTGGAAAAGGACAGGGGGAAGCCAGTTGCTTTGGTGAGCCAGCCGAGCGCCAGGGTGGAGAAGGGTGCTCTTTTCGGAGGGTTTGCTGTTGTAGCAGTTTCCTGCTGCGAGGGAGGCGGAGACTTTGTAGATTGCCATTGGGAATGGGGCGTTCCATGGGGTGATTCTGACAGTGACGCGGTTCATGGCGTACAATCTTCATCAAAAACCTCATCAGTATTCTCTATTTGGTGTTTTGAGAGATCCAATTGCATATGTCGCTGCTGACTGTCTTTGACCGTTGGTAAATGCAAGCTGGGAAATGGTCTTGAACAGTTGAATCATGCGGGGATGGTCAACCAAGATCCTCACTCTAGCTTCACCAATATGCAGCCATAATCATTCATCCAATTCAAACGCAATTAATTCCATAAACTTTTCCCTACACACAAAATCTCATCCATCACTCCTCCCCCCCTTCCCCGTACTCAAATTCTCATCACTGATCCCCTCCTCAGTATACCACGTACTCGGCTGTTTCTTCGTCGTCTGCACAAGCGAAATCTCACTATCCTGATCCCTCGACTGGAGCCGACTCTGCCCCGATCGAAAGCCACTCGAGCTCGGAACTCTAAGATTCCTCGACGCTGATGTTGATCGAGGCATACCACCGTACGAAGACCCCTTTGTGGTTCCGCCCTCGCGGAAAAAGTATGCGAATATTGAACGGCTGAGGGCGAGGTTGGCGCCGACGATGCCGAGGTAGAGTTCGAGGTTTGACCAGATTGCTGTTATGGCGTAGACCCCTGTGTTTTGTTAGGATGGGATTTTAGGGGGAGGGTTGGGGTTTGACTTACAGCTTAGATCTGATGTTACGACGCCGAGGGAAGTGGCACGGGCGATTCCAAAACCGGTGGCACTGTTAAAGATTAGTCCCCAGATTGTAATTGAAGATGATCGAGGGGATAATTACACTAGGCCCAAGCTCATCAAGGCCCAAACGGAGATCTTAGTCTTCAATGGAAGGCTAGTATTCCATATTACAAAGACTGGTAGCAGTGAACATATCAAATCTGTGAGAATGGAAAATGCTGGCAGATTTTGTTAGCCCATATACCTCACACTTCTGCAATACATACCAATCGTAGCGTAAATGTAGTAGATTCGAATCCGCGGATTCCAACACTCCCCAACACCAGTCCAATACGCACTGACAGGTCTGCATTCTGAAAGCAAAATAATAATGCATCCAAAATTCGTAACAACCAATCCCGCCATGATCCCCCACGCCGCATACTTCACCCTCCTCGAATCCTTAATCCTCAACAACAGCAGCAATATCGAAATCTTGAGCAGACAAATACTCGCAAAAAGCAAAATCTGCGCTACCCACCCGAGCTTGTTATTCTGCACGTAATCCTCCGGCTCGATGAACCATCTATGCCTTCCATTCCCGATACTGACCTGCCCAACCTGCACGCCGAACCGCGCGACGCCGAGCAATGTGACGAGGACGATGGTGTAGTCGTCCCAGCCCGACGATCGTAGGGCTGTGCGTACCCAGATCCGAACGCTAGTGGTGATGATCACCAGGGCGAGACAGGTGCCCGATATGCCCAGGAGGATTGGACCGACGTTTTGATCGGGTGGTAATGGGTTCGGTGGTTGCACGGATGCCATGATCAGCGATATGACGAAAGGATCTGAGTACAAAAAAAAAGAGGGGGAGAGGAAGGGGGAGTGCATGAAATGGTAGTAATTGGTAGCGTGAGATTTTGTTTATGTATGGTCTGCGCGGCATTTGTTGACGGGACAGGGGAGGTTTGTCGGATCTGACGTCTCACACGGCGCAGCTGCCACCGAAACTTTAATTCTATTAAAGGTAGCATCAGATTCTGCCACCTACTGTATTGATCACGAACTTTCCACTGTTCGAGTCATTCTGCCCCGTTGACCGTTGGGGTTTATACGCGGTTTCTAGTTCCCGCGCATCAGACCATGGCATTATTCAGGTCTCTATAATCACGTCCCCCATCCTATTCGTTATCTGTAAGCGAAGGACCCTGAGTCCCTGGTCTAAGCAAAACCTTATAGTGCATTGGCGGGGTTTCATCGCCCGCCAAGGACGTACTGGTCGCCCTAAACAGGCCTCGCTCCGCTCCCTGTCACGGATGAGTCTTCCGCTTGGCAATTAAATTTACAGTTAAATACTACCTTGTTCTGCAGGGGCAGTATGCATGAGCGGGCGACTCAATAAAGGGTTTTCCTTCCGCTCCGTTCCTCTTTTTCTTCTTTTGTCTGTGTTCTGCAGCTTTGTGGCGATTACCGTGCATTGGATGTAATATCTGTTACTTTTTGAACCATGCTTGTCAAGTTGCCTTTATGGTTTAGCCTTGCTGCAGCTGCAGTAGCGGCTCCGTCAAAGGACACCTACGATTATGTGAGTCAATTGTGTCTCCAATCCAAACGGCATTTGTCTCAGTCTACCAATTGTCACGTTTTAACTCTAATGACATGTCGCATTCTTCATCTTAAATCGAGCAAGTCCTCGGATCTCTCGGCTAATCTTGAACCTTCTTAACAGATCGTCGTCGGAGGTGGCACAGCTGGTGTCGCAGTCGCAGCTCGTCTCAGCGAAGGCCTCCCATACGCCAACATTCTCCTCATCGAAGCCGGTCCCGCTGTGGACGATGAACCCAAGATCAACATCCCCGGTATGAAGGGCTCGACCCTCGGCACCAAGTATGACTGGAACTTTACGACTGTTCCTCAAGCGGGTGCGAATAACAGAGTCTGGCCGATCAATCGGGGTAAGGTCCTGGGAGGGAGCTCGGCTCTCAATCTCATGACCTACGATCGTGCTGCAGTCGCTGAGTACGATGCTTGGGAAGCCCTCGGTAACCCGGGTTGGAATTGGAAGACGATGATCAAGGCGATGATGAAGTCTGAGACATTTACTGGCAAGAACACTGCGACTTACGGTTCAAAGGGCGTTGGCGACAGCGGCCCCGTCAAGGCTGTCATCAATCGCATCATCCCCAAGCATCAAGAGTCTTGGATCCCGACTCTAAACAAACTTGGAGTTCGCAAGAATCTTGAGTCGCTGGGTGGCAATCCTCTTGGTGTTATGTACCAGCCCAGCAGTATTGATCCCTCAAACTACAACCGCTCTTACAGCGCCAACGCCTACACGGAAGTCTCGGGTTCAAACCTTGAGATTCTTGCCGACACCATCGTCACCAAGATCAACGTCTCTGGGCCCGCTGCGAAGAAGAAAGCCATCGCTACTGGCGTGACTCTCCAGGACGGCACCTACGTTAAGGCCCGTCGCGAAGTCATTCTCTCTGCTGGCTCCATCCAGAGCCCTGGTCTCCTCGAGCAGTCTGGCATCGGAAGTAAATCCGTTCTTTCCGCCGCTGGTATCAAGCAGATCGTCGATCTTCCCGGAGTCGGCGAGAATCTTCAAGATCATCTTCGCGTGATGACTTCATATCAGCTCAAGCCCGAGTTCCTCTCCTTCGACGCCCTTCGAAGCAACGCTACCTTTGCCGCTGAGCAGCTTGCTCTCTGGAACGCTGGCAAGCGCTCTCTGTACGATTACACCGGCAGTGCATACACTTTCTCAACATGGAAGCAAGCCCTTGGCAACGATGCAAAGCTGGTGTCGCTTGCTAAGGATGCTGCTGGTAAGGATGCTAGCAAGGTTGACAAGAAAAAGTTGGACTTCCTCAAAGATTCCTCTGTTCCTCAAGTCGAGGTCATTTTCTCTGACGGTTACACTGGGGTAAAGGGTTATCCCGCCGCCACGTCTCCCCTCTTCGGCAAGGGCTTCGTCACGCTCATCGGTGTAGTCATGCATCCTCTCAGCCGAGGCAGCGTTCACATCAACCCCTCCGACCCAGCTGGCAAACCCACCATCAACCCCAACTACCTCAGCAACTCTCACGATATCGAAGCTGTCTTCCAAACAGTCAAGTACAACCGAAAGATTGCAAACACGGAGCCCATGCGCTCAATCTGGGAGGATGAGTATGAGCCTGGTCTGGATGTCAAGACTGATGAGCAGATCAGGGATTATGTTTTGAGAACGACGCTGAGCATTTTCCATCCAAGCGGCACTTGCGCTATACTCCCAAAGGCAGATGGTGGTGTTGTTGACGCCAAGCTTAAGGTCTATGGTACTGAGAATCTTCGTGTTGTTGATGCTAGTGTTATTCCTCTGCTGATCTCGGCGCATATTCAGACCGCGGTTTACGGCATCGCTGAGATTGCTGCCGAACTCATCATCAAGGATGCAAAATGAGTATGATTAGCTAGAATTCAGATAGAACGGCGCACGTCTTTACTGATTGCCGTTTCAATTAATTACTTGCCATTCTGATATGTTCTCTCGTGAACAAGTGGGTGTCTCCGAGTCCGCTCGTCAAGCTGTGAGACTTCTACGCTCTTTTCAGCCTCTCAGCCCGAAACTGCTAGATTTGACTGCATCTTTCTGTCACTTGAATGAGTCATAAACGCGTTGCCCTAAGCAGTCCTTCATTGTCGATTGATGCGCAAAGAATTGGTCAATCGCTGATGCACAACGTCACGCAATCACGTTTCCGGGACACTTTCGCTCTCTGATTGAAGTGCATACTGCCTTCAGTGAATGACTACACTGAAAAGAAAGTGTCTAGATCGACCCAACTTTGTCTGTGAGTCTACATGGCAGTCTGAGTATCACTGTCCTCGTGTCTTAGCGAATCCAACACTATCTCGAGCGCACAGCATCATCGTCCAAGTGGCCGTCGACAACATGCTCTTCACCCCCATAAGCCTCCATCTTTGTGCATCGCAAAGTCGATAGCATACTCCTCGTCCGACTCATCGAAATCATCACAAAAGACTCTTACCAGGATCAGTTAATCTTACCATACACGATGGCGATTCAGTACGTACACAGTTTCTTTCGCCGGGATCCAAGTCGTACACCCAAATATGAAAAACTCGACCGCTTCGTTGCAAAGTCACAGGGACAGTACCAAGCCAAGTTTCTGGATGAAGAGAAGCAGTTCCTTCGAATCACTCGAGCTTTTGTGGACAGCAACAGCGTGGAAGACACGATTGAAGACGTCTTCAAGGCGATGAAAAAAAGAGGGCTGAAGAAATATTGGCAGCGGAGGCTCACTGTGACTGGTTGCTCACCAGATCATGTCAAGGTTGACATTGCGGACCTGCAGAAGTGAGGAGACTTGACGGCGATGAGGAAAGTTGGAAAGAAGAATCGAACATTCATCAATTGTGACAGCGTTTGGATGATTGACCGGTGGCTTTCTTGGGTTATGCGAATGGCTCCAGGTCCAAGAACGCAATGGGAGGAACTCTTCATAATGGCAATCAGACCGAATATTAGGTCTTGACAGTCCCCTCAATCCAAACAGTTACTATTTCGTGGCATGCATTGTTGCAGTCCCCATATGGTACTTGTGCTAATTCGTTGTACGGGCAAAAGAATTGAAAGGAGCCGTTTTGCGAAAAGCTGAAAGAGCCCGATTGTGAAAATACAATGGAGACTCAAGGCAAACCAGAGCACTCGGCACTAAGCTGAACAGCGCTAGAAGAACTACCATCGTCATTTGATGTATGAGCAAGGGCGATTCGCTTGTGATTTCTCATCCGCCGCGTCAAGAACGTCCTCATCACAGATGATGCCGGCAACTTTTGCTATATAAAGCTGAACACCGCATTTTAATCCACCCTAAGTTCTCTCTGCTGATTTAATATCTCAACTACAACTCTCCTGCAAATAACGCATCTAGCTCACCCACCAAAACATCGCGACACAATTCTCAGAGACCATGTCCCAACGAGTTTCCGCCACTAGACCCATGCATATCCACACGATATGGGACCGAAGGCCCGTGAGCAAAATGCAGAGACTGCTCGCTCTGTTTACCCCCTCGGCAGAAGACAAGCTTCACGATTTCATCGAGGAACATAAGCTTTACCATTGGCGCTCCTGGGATGATGGGCTACGATTGACTATACCATTGGACAACAAGACCCCGCACAAGGCACTTGTAGATCTGGCTATCCTGATGGAAATTGGGGGACTAGACAAGGACTGGGTTTTTTTTACGTACATACTTACTGACGATCCGGATGAGTTCGATCCAGTGATGCGTATCATGGACTAGTCAACTTGGTTTGACGTGAGAGGTCTCAGAAGCAGTTTCTGAATTTGTTTGTTATGAGTCTGTCTTAACTTGTCGTTTTCTCTGCAGAATTGACGGTGGTGGTAAGGAACCGGTTAGTCGACGCGAACACTCTGTAATCGTAGTGAACGTCCAGAGCCGGTGATCTTGATTGGCTCTGCGAAGTACCGATGATTAATGAAGAGGTAGTTTTAGGGGCAATCTTTAATTGAACTCCCATCATCTATATGACCTTTTAGGCGTAGCCCGTAGTAAAGACTGAGAAGAAGGCGTTTTGTGAAACGTCGAGAGAGCTTTTGTGTAGATCAGAACGTTCTGCGCCAAGAGTCTGAACAGAGATTGAATACTCGTGGTTATCCCTTGATGTGTGAACAAGGTACAGTTTCCATAAACAACATCACTGTTCAGCAGCCGTCAAGAGAGAATCCTCATCACAGTCAAGGTCTGCGACCTTGGCATGTATAATTGACTGCCGTCGCCCTCTCAACCTACCCATCAAACCATCCCTACACAACTCCAAGAAACCATGTCTGAACCAACTTCCATCACCGGGCCCACGCATACTCATACAATATGGCGCAAACGCGAAAAGAAACTAAGCATGACGCAGAAACTCGTCAGCAGAGTCACAACCAGCCCAGAGGAAAAACTTAAAAAGTTCATTATGAAGCATGAGATATACTGGAGCAACCAATGGGATAACAAGCTCCGGTTAACGGTACCACTAGATGGCAAGAGCCCCGAGGAGACACTTGCAAACATTGGAGCTTTGATGCAAGACGAAGGAATAAATCAGTACTGGGAGTATGTGACGCAGGTCCATACCGACGATCCGCGCAAAGTCGATCCAAGGGTGGATAAGATCAAGTAGGCAAGCTACTCAAAAAACGATGCTCTCGAAAGCAGTGAATTTATTGAGATGATCTCTTGCATTGTGCTTTTAACTTTGCGGTGACATGGGATTGGACTACTTTACCTCAAAAGGTAGCTCGCGAATGTGATGTGTAACTATGGTTGACCTCAATGAGCCCTAATGGTGATCGCGGTGATGACTCTTCTCGCCGTATCAAAGATCAACTGAATCGAATTCCCATTATTTCCATTTACTCTTAGTTGTCAAATAACTCATATTGTCCCTCTATCCTCTTGTGAAGCATTCAACTTGAAATCTAGATATCTCTGCTCAGGGGTCTCACAGACTCTGAAAGCCAATCAATGACATGATCCCTTACACGGAATTGGTTGATTTGAAGAAACAAATCAGCCACAGCATCTCTTCCCTGTCAATTATGCCTCTGAAAGCCCAGACATTTGCAGCAGTGATGATAGCTCCTGTATGTATGTGATTGTTCGCATACCTTCTAGTATTCACATCAATGTCTGAGAATCGACTGTATCACCGAGAACCTTCCGGTGCGCGTTAGATGGTATAAGAGAGTGACCTTAGTGTTGAACTCCAGCTCAATCAACGACCAAATCACAACAACATAACGAGAGCGAACGTCTACCATAACCATGGGTGCAATGAATGCCAAGAAATTTCGCGAATGGTCTGACAGATGGAATGAAGACTTCAGACACTATTACTATGTCAAAAGGGCGAACGGTTATTATCCGTCATTGCTTCACTTCACTTCGAAGTACAAGGACATATATGAAGTCAACTTCGACAACTTGAAGGAGACTTTGCACATTATACTGCCCAAAGACGATTACTATCACAAAGATGTGAGCGCTCAGAAAGCAATTAGAAAGCAGCTTGAAAAGGCGATAACAAAGGAAATGCCTCGCTACTGGGTGAAGGACGATGTGAGACATCGAGAAGTAGAAGATCGCTTTGCACGAGAGGTGGAAGAGCACTATCAAGAGGAAAAGACCAAAGTACCGAGAGGAGGGAAATGATAAATGGCACAAGGGGTGTTCTAACAGCAAAGACATATGAGTGGAGTCTAGTATGATTGAAAGATCAAATAGAACATTCGCTCCATCAGCATGGTTCCTAACTTTGTGGCATAGCCCTGGAGAAGCCAAGATCATGCCCAAGTACTTCAGGATGATGGCACCCGCAGTGAGAGTGCAGTGGTCAGTGCAGCAGAGGGAACTAAGTACTTCTTGAAATCATTGTGTTTCTAAGAATTCTCATTAAAGACGTGAAGATAAACATACGGCGTTTGGGGGTCAAGCTACCGCGAACCAGAGGAGAATTTCCCACGTTCACAGAGGCCGCATCTGCCCTCATTACGATTATTGGCACGGAGCTAGTCTGTTGGTTCAACTCTGTGAAAAGTCGCGCACCTTTGTGAGTTCGCCCTGGTGAAGCGATGTAAGTTCGCACTGATCAGTCTTATTCAGTTTGAGATCCTTTCCGCACTAGGCTTTCTAGCTCTGCAAAGTCACCGATGGTTCTGACCGTGAACAGGGCCCTCGTAATTTTTAGAGCATCACCCTCGATACCCTCTGGTATGTTGTCCCCTTCGCCGCCTATATCTCCATGGATTTCGTTTTATAAGAGATGGGTTCGTCGTGGTCTTTCAGCCGACTCATCAGGCCATTCCACACATAACCATCCAGCACTCGACCTGATCAGAAACATAATGGAGCCTTCCGATACAAAACGACAACCACCGACATATTCTAGTGAACCACCTCCAGCATATAGAGAAATCACTTCCCCCCCCTCCATATTCCAATGCCCCGTCTCCAGAATATCTCAACGAGATGTTCAGATACTTTTGCCTTCGCAAAAGGCGGGATGACTGTACGGACACCATTACTGATTTCCTTGCCAAGAACAAAGATTACAAGCTTGAGCTTTACGATAATGATGAACGGCTTCGCATCATACTACCCAGCGCTTGTTATATGTCTATGGAGGTTGAGGAGCTTAGAAAAATACGCAAGAGATTGGAAGTTGCAGTGATAAAAGGAAATATTTTGCGTGATTGGGAATTTGACATAGCAAGGAATTACGAGCCCAAGCGGGGACTCATACAAGCGAAGTTGAGGAATAAGTACCAAAAAAGGCTAGAGCAGGATGAGGAGTTCAGAAGGATGGAGGCGACGAAGTCAGCTTCAATCATCTCAGCAGAGCTTAACCTACAAGTGCATCACTCAATTGCTCACTGGTGAGGATATTGTGACTGCTGGGGTGACTTGAGTCTCTAAGAAGCAGGCCACGGAACCGAAATTACCAGTATGACATCCAAATACAGCTGGCCGGATTTAACAGATAGCACTCCTGAGCCTACTTTGAGGGATCTCAATCAATTGATCATCTTTAGTGTTTGGGATATACTGAGAATGTAATTTATTAAAATGCGTTGATCCTTTTAATACAGCCTAATACTAATGATGAAATGTATCATAAAGAATCTAACAAAGGATGAATGCAAACAGTTGATTTACCCATCGCACCTGCAATGTGACATGCGATCAGGGTTCTCCAAACAATATATGAGTAACTATTATAGTGGACTACTATCTAATAGTCCCTTGTGTTCAAGGATAGGTTAACTATAGAAGTAAAGTAAAAGCAGCAGAAAGTCGATGTGAGCGCATAATCTATCGTAGAAGTGCAATGGGTGGATCGTGCCGATACTAAGGAGCAACCAGATACAGCTTTTGATACAGATGTCAACCCGTCACATATGCTCCGTGATGAGAGCCCTTTGAGCTTGTGTAGAGACAGGGTGCGATAGAAGATAGTAGTCGGAATTGATCGGTTGATCTTCGCATTGATGTCCTTCAACTCTGGCACCCGATAACAGACACTGCATCACCAAAACCCCGAAGTGTGACAAAGATTGCCGTGGAACTTCAGGAATCACTGTATGGTGAGGCCGGCTCAGTTTCCTTGTCACAGACCTTTGAACATCGGTGTCGTTCTAAATAGTCATCACCCAATACCCGCTTTGTTCAGCTGACCAAATACCTTTACCCCATCACTTTACGTCGAATCACAGAGACATCAACTCAAGACGGAAACTACAACTTCTCAAAGCACTTCTTAACTTTCCACAGAGGAAAATCGAATAAACAGAACGATCCGAAATCAGTGCTTCGAACAGCAGAGAATGAATAATATGGATAAAGAAAGCCAGCACCGGTGTTCATTTCAACGCCCATGTCCTTATACACAGACAACAGCACATGTTCACAGAACGCACTGACTGTGATGCTGATAAAAGCTCCTATGAGAGTCACTGTCTTTCGAGTCTGCTGGAATCCCTTCATCACAAACCCTGCTTGCATTTATCTCTCTATATAATCATTACCAGCCACCCTCTCTATCGTGCTCACTCAACAACCCAGAACAGACCGCTTTACAAACCATCAACCTATCTGATGAGTAACGAATTTACTATGAACTCCCGAGCCTACGAAGCGAGGATAGAGAACCACGAGGAAATGGATAAGGAACTCAATGAAGCATTCAGACATCGCTTCTACGTCAGAAACAAAAACATTCCCTTGACTCCAGAAGGCATGGACGCCTTGGAGTTCTCAATTCAGGAGCACATGGCAAAGTTCAAGGTGGAATTCGAGAGCAACGATGAAAAACTCCACATTACGCTGCCCAAAGGTGAAGACGAGATAGCTTGTATAGGGCACTTTCTTGTTAGCCGGGAACTTCGAGCGGCTTTGGATCTCACGAAGATTTCCACATACTTCCTTATTGATACAGCCAGGTGCTATGAGAGTCACATTCAAGACATGAAAGTGATCTTATTGAAGACTCAGAATAGGCAAAAGAAACATGGGGGCTTGGAAGCCAACATCAAACAACAGCAAAGGATGCTATCCATTTTCGAGGCAGAATTAAAATCGCACCTTGAAAGTTGACAGTGACAACACTTTCAACTCTGCGACATGCTATATAGATTAGAAATACCCCTTGAATTCATTTGCTGCCTTATTATTGAAGCTCTGTCTCTGTAGTCAAATGCTATGCATTAACCTTCTTTGAAGTTACATAAATGAACTTGTCTCTCCTTACATCTTGACTGTAATACATCTCATTAGCTATGAACGTATGATAATGAGATCAACTGTTCACAGTCGTCTTTTTTTGATAGCAACCTTAGTCTCATGTAGCAATAGACAATCACGAACAGTATAACTTGCCACTGGTCGGTTTTCTTCAGCGTCGATGTACTTTGCCGTTGAGAACAGGTGCATGTTCACCGACGGCCTAATGGGGTATCACTGCCAAGAACTTCTTCGTTACAGACCGTCTATACATCCATCTAGTTATATAACCATTGCCAATACTCATTGTGTGACTCGCTCAACCACCTCTTTACATTTCACCGCACGAAACCCAGCTAGGCACTCCCCCAACAACCTCAAAATGGCAACCCCGATTTCTCAAGAACCCTCTGGCCCATATTCAGAACAAGAACAAATGAATGAGATATCTAGACATTTCTATTACGTCAGAAAGAGAGAAGTCCGTATGTTTCCAGGAGCAAAGGCTTTGCTGAAGATGTCGATTCAGAAATATATGGCGAAGTATGAGGTAGAATTTCTAGATGACGACCAAAAGCTTCGCGTCTCGCTGGCTCTGGATGTGAATAGGGAGGATTCTGACGAGAAATTCCGGCTGTTGATGGAAATGCCTGATGCTATGAAGAAGACGAGGGTTTTGACCTTCTTTCGTGCCGATACGATCAAGGATTTGGAAAAACATGTTGAGATGACAAAATTCTCTATCTTAGGCCTCGAAAGGAGAAATCCCTGCTCAAGTCAGGAGAGGGAGGATGCCAAAATTCAACGAGATTTGCTAGCAATACACGAGGCAAAACTGGCAAAACAGAAACAAATTCAGGGAGAATAGAAGAGCTGATACTCAGGAGCTGGGGACAAGATGTATATTAAAGAGCATTTGTGTGCTTGCAATACAGGATCCGCCTCCGCATAAGATTCTATGCGTCACCTTTCTTTGAAATAATCCACATGAACCTCTCATCAGCATCTTCTTCCAAAACTGCTTGTTGAACTTCCATTCCAGCGTCCTGAGTCAACACCTTGAGGACCCCTTCTTTACCAAGTGCACTCCAAAACATCCAGCCTTTCTCATCTATCCACTTCTCATCGATAATTACCGACGCCTCATCAGTACCAAAGGTTGACAGAAAAACGCCGCCTGGTGCAAGCCATCTGCCAACTCGCTGTATCATATCTCTCTGTTCTTCTTGTGGCAAGTGAATAATGCTGTACAGCGCTATGACTGCTGTAAGGGAACCAGGCGCAAAGTCTAATTTCATCATGTCGTCGGGATGGTATTCAACACGATCTTGATATTTAGCTAGATTGTGTCGAGCAAGATCTAGTTGAACGTCGGAGAGGTCGTTGGCGTGCACGTGGACTGATGGTGCTCGCGCGAGCAGAGTTGAGATGAAGGGACTTCCAGAACCGCACCCAAGCTCAAGGACTTGTTTCTTCACCGTACCACCGGTTGCTAGTAGTTCTGGGCAGGAATTGATAAGTTTATCGAGATACTTCATACGTAGTTCGTTGTGGCGCGCTGTCCAGGTGTTGTATGCTGGTGCGATGGCATTGTATGATGCACGAAGGCGATCTTTCATATCAGCAGGTGGTTCCATGGTTTGTCTTGACAGGATGCTCGGCTTCGATGAGTTACTGGTATATCAGAGAATTAGAAAAACAGGTTCAAGACTCTGTAGAAGTAGTTAGTCTGATGAGTCATGCCGGCCGCCAATGTAAGAATCCCTCGATTAGCGTATTCCATCGTCACTACTCTTCGGTTCAACGTCGGTTACACCAAAATCTCAAACCACAACAATAGCCGCTTCCATTCTCGGGTCCAAGCCTAAAGGAGATTTGCGGTGAGACTGTCGGCTATGGCATTTCATAATCAACTGCACATGCTGCTCCGGAAGACTTTTTTGAACTGCCTGAATGGGCTTGCCCACGCAGATCTTGGCCTGTCGCGGTCAAGGGCATCGTCACATCTGCCCCTGTCTTCCCCGCGTCGTCTGCGGCCCAGTGGTGGGACTCACGCGGCTAAATTATCCCATCCATACAAGCGATGGGATCTTCTCCCCGGTGCATTTACTGCCGAGTCTTCGGTATAATTGAGCCGAGTATGATGTTCGCATTTAAACTCTTTGAAGTCTCGCTTTAAGTGGACATCACCGATAAGAAACACATTCATGATGGTGTTCTTCTCGTTGAAGTCGTTGGCTTTGGTCGCTGGGCTAATACGCTATGCTTTAGCCGAATTGACCACTGCTGAGAACTCAACGCACATCTCCCTCTCCAACAAACGCTTTGCAGTTGTCCTCGCCAAGTCTAGTGGACATATCATCGATGCTACTCTCGATGGTCAAGATCTTCTTGGACCGCTGAGTGGAAATAGCGGCAAGGGTCCCTATGTTGACTGCTCTTGTATCCCAACCGGGTTCTGGACACCAGGCAGTACCGCAGATCTGCGCCTTGTCAAAGGCACTGATTCTACTGGAACAGAGTATGGCGGAATTATCATGAGCGACACCTACAAGCCGACCAATCAGACTCTTTCGCAGTACTTCTTCCTTAGAGGTGAAGAAACAGGTCTGCACGCCTTTACTCGTCTTACATACTTCAACGCATCGAAACCATTCTTGCGAGATCTCGGTGAATTGCGTACGCTGTTCAGGCCCAACACCAAGCTTTGGACCCATTTCTCCACCAGCGAGGGGAATTATGGTCCTTTGCCAGATGCCTCTGGTGCTCTGACAGTCCAAGATGCTACGTGGTATGTCGGCAACAAAACCGATGACCCGTACGTTGAGCAATACTCGGACTACTGGACAAAGTACACTCTTTCAGAGAGCTGGCGCAACCACGATGTCCATGGCCAGTTCAGCGATGGCTCTACCAGCGCTGATGGAAGTACGTTCGGTGCATGGCTTGTTCACAACACGCGAGAGACATACTATGGCGGCCCGTTGCACTCTGATCTCGTCGTTGATGGAATTGTATATAATTACATCGTATCTGGACATCACGGCGCACCGATGCCAAACATCACTCATGGTTTTGACCGCACATGGGGTCCTCAGTTTTACTACTTCAACAAAGGCGATAAAGACGCGACACTTGCCGACCTTCGAGCTGATGCTGCCAAGTATGCGGATGCAGAGTGGAATGCGAAGTTCTATGACAGCATTGCCCAACATGTTCCCAATTATACCCCGTCAGCGAAGCGAACTACCTACAGTGGTAAGGTGAAGCTTCCCAAGGGTGCGAAGAAGCCAATCATTGTTCTTTCAGAGAACAAGCAGGACTTCCAGCTCAATGTGTTCGACACAAAGTCGCTTCAGTATTGGGCTGAGATCGACGCGTCTGGTGACTTCAGCATTCCTCAGGTCGTGGACGGAGTTTACAGAGTCACCATTTACGCTGACGAGGTCTTTGGATGGTTCATCAAAGATAACATTCGCATTTCCAAATCCCACAACAAGGGTAGCTTCACTTGGAAAGAGGAGAACGCTGGCAAAGAGCTCTGGCGTATCGGCACACCTGACAAGTCGTCTGGCGAGTATCTTCACGGATACGCCCCTGACACTTCAAAACCACTTCAGCCCGAGCAATACCGCATTTACTGGGCCAAGTACGATTTTGTTGAAGATTTCCCCAAGGGCGTTAGCTTCCACGTCGGAAAGGATAAAGAAGAGGAAGATCTAAACTACGTCCACTGGTCCTTCATCGCTGCAAAAGGAAACCATCTCCGATCAGAGAATTATTATGACAACGTCAACAACTGGACCATCACATTCGACTTGACAAAACTTCAGCTCAAGAACGTCAAAACAGCTACTTTCACAGTTCAGCTCGCCGGCGTACGCACCGGGAACGGCAACGCGAAGTGGACGCCCGTCAACGATCGTTTCAACAGCAACCTACCCTGGACCGTCAATGTTAATGGCGGGTATGAAGACACTTGGGTCATTCCGTACTGGCGGAGCGGCTCGTGTGCTGTTCGTAGCGCGGTGGCGTGTCAGAATATTGAGCATAAGTTTGAGTTTCCGACTTCGAAGCTGAGAGTGGGAAAGAACGAGTTTGTGCTGAGTTTGCCGTTCAATGCTTCTAGTGTTGAGACGGCGCTTCTACCGGACACGCTTTATGTGCAATATGATGCGTTGAGGTTGGAGGTTAAGTAGTCGTGGTACCTTGATGCAAGTTACTTCAGCAATTCATTATGTTGATGGTAAACAGTGTGATCAGTACAGCAGTACCAAGCGGGAGGCACAGCAAGTTTTCAAATTATAGTGACAAATGTTTGTCTGTTTGTGCTCAATTCATGATACCTAGAGAATCTGTTGGTTCTGTTCAATCAAGGCTAATTGTCGTTGAATTCCCAATGCTCAATCCCAGTTGCCTCAACCTTCTTCAACTCCCCAATCTTCTTGCCATCTTCGTTATTAGCCACTGCTCCCACGTCCCTCTTCTCTTTACATTTTTCACAAATCGTTTGTGCTGGCTCAGTTGCACCAGGGCAAATTGTCCCATCGGACCTTGTTCGTATACACTTCCAAACTTCTGTGTCTTCTCGGATCTTGGTGATCATAGGCATTGTAAATGATGTTTTGTGGTTGAGGGCTTATTGCTTGCTGTATTGGATAGTTTAGGGTTCGGACCTACGGTACATATAGGAATTAAATTAATGACCTTGGCGTTTCTTTGCTGAGTCACAGTGTCGTGCTAAGATTGCGTCACTCACACTGCAGTGGTTGTGCGCCTCACTGTGAAGTAATTCTGGATGGCTCAGGCCAGTGATTAGAGAAGATATAAGTCACTTTAAAAGTCTTTCGATTCACGAATTAAGGCGCACCAGCAACATGAATATGAGTGGCATTGTTCCTGTATCTTCATCAGTCTTCCCTGCTCCCCCACTCTCACCGACTACCCTGTAGCCGGCACCAGTCTCATTCCGCCCAACCAACCTCAAACGTCCACGTCAATATACTCCCAATACTCGACTGCCCCTTCCACCTTCTTCAACTTGCCGATAGCCCTCATTTGCTCGTTGAAGGCTGTGTCGCCCTTGTCCCGTTTCATCTTGCAGTCCTCACATTTCTTGTCATTTATAGAATTTGTGTTTCCACATGTTTTTCCGTCGCCCTTGTTTTGGTTGCACACCCAGAAGGAGGCCTGTTCAGGAGGGACGTTATACATTTCCGCCATGGGTGTTGTGTTTTGGATATTGATTTGAAGTTGTAGTATTGTTCATGTTTTCGTGGATATTCGGGAGAAGAAATGCCATATGGTTGGGAGCTTAAATCAGCAGAGAGAACTATGCCACTTTTATAACTGTGCTCCCCATCAGTAAAGGAGTCCAGCATGTATCACTGGATGGCTGCTTTCAATTAGCAACAGTTAATGCTGATGAGGCAGGGTGATTAAGCAAGGAAGAAAACTCCGGTGCTTTGTCGTCTAAAGCCTGCCCAAGCTCATGCGAAGTTTCTCTGTCACTGGGATATCACACCGATCTTATGCGCCTTTGGAGTCAGTCATTAGAGTATCTAGCTTCTCAGTCAAAAGCAAGACATGCGTTAGCAGTGAAGACAATGGGTATATCGCTTATGTGCATTTTCTGTTCTTAACCTATATGCGTCAGGGCTAAAGCTTCTTTCAACTTATCAATCTCATCACAGCGGAGTCTTCACAAAGAGCATCCCAATGAAGCCAAGGGTGTTGCGTATTGTTAGAAATTGATGTCAAGTTCATGGCTCCCTTTGCCCTTAAGAACCGAACTAGACGGTATTTGCAAGGAACAGGTAAATGTATCGAGTTTTGGATTGGATTTTGATCACCTGGGAGTAAAGCCCTAGATTCTTGCGTCCCCCTGACACTTTATTATTGGTCCTCCCAGTTCCTAACGACTGCCGCCTTGCTCCTCATCCGATCACACTCCAGTCGCTCCCTCTTGAGCCGTGCAATTCAGCTCAAAGTGCTCCCAATGCTCCTCCGCCCCTTCCACCTTCACCAAGATACCAATTTGGCGATTGTATTGATCAAGAGCGATGTCTCCCTTGTCCCGTTTGGAATGGCAGCCGTGACAAGTCATGTTTCCCTTATTATTGAGAAAATTGCATTTCGTTTTCTTTGCTATCCTTTGCTTGCACTTCCAGAACAGCATTGTCTCGGGAGGTTTGTCGTATGTCTCTGTCATGGTGGGAATTTGGTGGTTTAATGTGGATTCGATGTTGTAGTTTCAGCTGTCAGTGTGCTTTGTTTTCTTTCCTCCTCAGTTTGTAGACGATTCCACCACTTTTGTATCCATGCTCCAAGGTCTCTAAGTCTCAAGTCACTGTCAGAAACAGTGCCCCGTTGAGCTGATTCAGCTAAATGCTTCCCTACGCGCAGTCAACTATTCTAGCATGCATCACATATCAGCTACATTCACCTCTGAATGTTCACAGGGGTAAGGCCAGGTGTGCTAATCACAGCGCAAAGTCGATGTTCTGAATGACAATCTCTCGCTGAATAATTGATTCACTTTACCGGAGTCCGACCACCTTCAGTTCTTGAACTCCCAAAATTCTTTTCCGCCTTCAACCTTGTTCAGCACCCCAATCTCAAGGCCATCTTTATCGACAGCTTTATCTCCCTTGTCCCGCCTCGCCTTGCACGCCATACATACCTTATCCTCCTTTTCATTAATCTTGAAGCACGTCTTGCCGTCACCTTTTGTCTGGTGACATTCCCAGAATTCAGTTTCTTCGGTGAGTTCGTGGAGTATCCTCGTCATTTCTGCGTCTTGGCTTTCTGTTTTTGGGATCGTCGTATCGGTTGGTTATCTTATGGCTGGTGCAATGGTTTGTTGTCCCAGTCTACAAGGAGGTTTCCTCTCATTTATAGCCATGATGCGTGGTGATTCGTTGCGTCGACTCACAGCCAGTTGACAAGTTATGTTTCTCACCCAGTCACTGCCATCAATTAGGCCTCAGCGGTTTGATCCAGTCCATCATGCTGACATAGGTCCCAGATTCACCTCGTTCCAGCGCGAATGTTCAGGGCGCAAAGCTATCTTATGAATCAGTGTTCATTAAGCATATTATTCCTGAATCTCAGTCGCTCCCATTACCCTTTTTCCCAACCGAGACAAAGAAAAAGTATTACATAGATTATCATGACCAAAACTTGAGCTTTCCCGCCCAGCCTGACGCCTGTCCCCCGCCATCATCAGCCTGACCAGAATTCCCAAAGGACACCTCCCTCGGCTTAACATAATACAAATCCGTTTCCCTAAACGAATAATCTACATTCGTATTCGACGGTAATATCGCCGACCATGCAGAAGGCTGCTCTCCAATATCTCCACTATCCGTACTTAAACTCGAACCGACAGAATTCCTCTCAGTAGGATTCTCATAAACTGTTGATGGTCGTGTGGTGTCAAATGACGGAAAATGCTGATGGCGCGGTGAAGAGCGTGATGCGCAGCGCTCGGGCCGTGGTGAGTCGAATTGAGAGAGACTTGATACAGATCTTTCGGGGCGGGGAGAGCGGAAGTATGTCCGGAGAAGTTCGGGCGATACGGGCTCTGAACCGCGAGAAGATCTGTTGGCGGAGTCGGAGGACGAGTTTGCTGAGCTTGATAGACTGCTGCTTCTGTCGTGATCCATGATGCTTTGGTTCGTTAGGTCTGTTCTTGTTGTTGGGCGTCTTGAGAGTTGGCGAAGGCCGTAAACCTGGAAGAGTCAGTGTTTTGCACCAGTCGATCGAAGTGGTGGTGCCATACCTGAGGTCGCTCGAGTGAAGAATCACGAGCAGGTTGTTGGGGAGTCTGCCATTCAGTGTAACAAGTAAGGCCGAGACGGGTAGACTCGTAGGCTGAAGGAGCAAGAAACATTCCAACTAAGAACAGAGCATGGAATGCTAGCAACACATAACCAAGCGCACTCGCAGCAATATGAGTCCACAAATCAGGGATCATTCCGAGACAGAGAAGAAGCGCTGAGAGTCGTGCACCAGCGATCAAAACCGGCTTTGAAAGCATCTGAGATGTCGCGCCGACCCAAGCGAGAAAGCCCAGCTGGATGACTTCACAAGCCATGAGCGAAAACAACTGCACAGTCCCAAAACGCTGTAATCCGCCGATGATAACGCCTCGAGCGAAAAGAAGAATGAACGTGACATAGCTGTAATAGTCCTGCGTTTGCGAAGGCTCCTCCGGCGTCTGCTTGTGAAGATTGTCGACCAGTAAATATCCCATGTCTTGAGGACTACGCGACATTCCCCACCAGCACCCAATAATCAACAGAGCAACCACCACGATGACGAGAATCGTGTAGTAAACCGGGCGGAAGCTGACGCTGTCAAGTTGATATGTTGTCCAAGCAGTAAGCGGGAGAAGTAGATAACTCAGGTAGACTCGCAAAGCGACCCAGATCGTAGCCTTGTGCGGTTTCGAAGACCTGTCAATCATCCATCTCCCTGATTGCTGAAACCAATCGCGCGTCCATCTCAAATGAAGCCCAGCCTGAATTACCGCGTACAGCAGCGCGAGAATGACAACAGCCAGCGTCGCAATGTTAGTCCAAGTTTCCTGTGTCACTGGAGCCCCCATCACCTGCGTCATGTGCTCTAGCCCTGAAGTCCCGCCAAACGTCCCATTGATCTCGTGGATCCCGTCGCGAATACCATAATACAGCGAATGTCTCCAAACAATACCCCGTCGGGTCATGAGCGTAGACCAACTCATCGAACTGACTACTGGTTGGAGAAATCCAGGCTGTCGGAGGCTGAGCGCGCTGGAAAAAAAGATGAATTGGATATATGCAAGACAATCGGCGATGCGCGTGAGATGAGCTCGACTTATACTTCTCTCCTGCCCGGACTCATCATCTTCTCGTAATGGATGCACCAGATTATACCATTCTCTCCACAGAGCTGCTAAAACGACCAGAATAAACGTAAGCGCCGGTATCCAGAATGAAACCTCCTGGACCGTGTATCCAATATCCGGCGTCAGGAACCCGTTGAGACACGCCACTGAGAAATGATCCGGGGCATCAATGTTAATCTCAAACTCATACGCCGCCAGCGGTTTCGGATCCTTTATCCTGAAAAGAACCTCGAGATACTGCATGTAGAAAACCATGTTGATCTGCTTAAACTCCCTAGTCCGACACGTCGCATTCTGAATCTCGCCATTGTAGCGCGTCGTCCCGCCCAGCGCCTCCAGGCTCAATTCGACAGAGGCGTTATCGAGTAATGATCTGTGGCACGATGCTATCGTGGGATAATTCCCGGTTATTCCAAGACTAAGGGTCGTTGTTCCATTGCTGTGCTCGTCTAGATATACGTCGAGACTGTTTGGGTCGTATGAATATGCTGATGAGGATGGGACACTGCAGTCCTTGAACTGAACGTATGAAGCGTGCGCGAAAGAGAAAAGAGTGAATAAAGATAATAGTGATAATGAGTGCATTTGTGAATATTAAAAATGATTAAGATGGTGAAGGAATGGATGGGTCGGATTGTCTCGGCTGAGGATGAGATCTCGGCTGTTTTGGGAAGAAATTGAGAAAGGGAAAATTGTTATTGATGCCTGAGGTTGGGGGAGGCGCAAGCATTGACAGTGCGTACGTTACGTGGGTCGAAGCATTTACTCGCCTGGTTTGGTTTGGTCTTGTTTGGTCTTGTTAGTGTTGCAACTGAAACGCTATGGTCCCGGCGTAAGTGCCGAGGCAGACTCGAGGCTATTGAGTTGAATCAAGCCACGTACGTACTCCGTACTTGCATTCAGATATGGAAATTAGACACAATTACTATTCACGAGTCTGCAATACATACATTCTTACTATTAGAAGCAATTCTTCTCTTTCAGTGCCATTCAATGCTTCCTCTTTCTGTAACAAAATATTGAACCGCCACTCGGCGTCTCCGAAGTTTTGACTTCTAAAACGCCCAACGGACCATGAATTATCCGGGCGTCGTCTCAGCCAAGTCTCCCCTTTTATTTTTGCCCCCTTACTAACAGCGCACAAACGTTGCATGGCTCAAAACTCAATACCAATCAAGTCGCATTGATCATCTTTCATCAATCTCTCATCAAAGCGGTTGTCATTCAATGCAACCATGTATGACCAATTGAGCGACATGATTGGTCTTTCGGGGATAAACACTCGGTGTACCTGAGGCTAGTCTGGATTCGGTTAATTTAGCACTTGCTGGATGCTTCACTTTGCAGCCAATCTCGAGACAGCAAAGGCTTGGGAACTCTGTTATGTTGTCTACGGTGGGACGACATGCCATTGACTATAGAATGGTTGAGAATATCGATACCAAACATATTAAGTGATGCGAGTTGTATCAGCCCTCGTCCGGTCGTTCAATCGAAATCGTTCGGACCTGCAACCATTGTCCCCAATTGAGCTCGACATCTGTAGTTCTGATTTGCCAGTTCAGTCAACTAGCAGATATTATTCCCATCATCTGACGGCTGCCGACAAAGAAACCCGAAAGCTAGCGACAAACACTTCACCCATTTTTTCCAAGTGGCGCCCATCAACCGCTAAAAAAACTAGCCCTACCCTGAAAAGCCCCCCAGGACTAAAATACCCACTTCCCTCCTCCGATCCTCTTCCACCGCCTCATCACTTCCCATCTACCAAAAGCCCATCATGTCTCCCTCGTGCTTCTCATCCCTCCCCGCGCAACCAACCGACGAGATCTTCGATCTCCTCGCCCTCTACCGCGCCGACGCCTCTCCCGACCGCGTCAATCTCGGCGTGGGCGTCTACTGCACCGACGAGGGCAAGTCATGGCCTTTGGATGTAGTCACCCGCGTGGAGAAGCAGCTCTTCGATGAGGCTAGTCTCACGAGACATGATTATCTGCCCATTGAGGGCGATCAGCAGTTTTTGAAAGTTGCGAGGGATTTGATCTTTGCCGAGCAGGATGATCTCAGTATCGCGAGTGTTCAGACTGTCTCCGGCACCGGAGCGAATCATATCGGTGCGAGGTTCGTGGCGGATTACTTGAGACCGCAGAATATCTGGGTGTCGGATCCGACGTGGGCTAACCACCATATGATCTGGGAGTCTGTTGGTATGAAGCCGAGATTGTACCCGTACTACAAGAAATCGGACTGTTCGTTGGATTTCGAGGGCATGATCAAGACGCTGGAGGAGCAAGCTCAGCCACGCGATGCTGTTCTGTTGCATGCTTGTGCGCATAACCCAACTGGTCTCGATCCCACAAAGGAGCAATGGAAGGCCATCGCAGAAGTCTGTCAGCGAAAACAGCTCTTCCCCTTCTTTGACGCAGCCTACCAAGGTTTCGCATCCGGATCTCCCGCCGAGGACGCATGGGCGATTCGATATTTCTACCACCAGCAGCCTCGCCCCGACATGATCGTCGCGCAGTCATTCTCCAAGAACTTTGGTCTGTACGGCCACCGAACAGGCGCCGTTCATCTTGTTCTCGCGGAGCCGTCCAAGGAGATTCGCGACAACGCATATTCGACGTTATCATACCTGCTCCGATCTGAGATTTCGATGGCGCCCAAGTATGGTTCTACGATTGTGAAGACGGTTTTGGATAGTGAGGAGTTGACCGCGGCGTGGATGGCGGATCTGCAGGTTATGAGTAGTCGGATTAAGAGTATGCGACAGGCTCTTTATGATGAGTTGGTGAGGTTGGAGACGCCTGGGACATGGAATCATATTGTTGATCAGGTAAGTCAGACGATCTACAAATTGACAGTCAGTAAATGCTGACCTTATAGATCGGTATGTTCTCATACACTGGTCTTTCTCCCTTCGAGGTCAAGGTTCTTCGTGAGCGATTCCACATCTACCTGCTCAACTCAGGCCGTATCTCTATTTCTGGATGTAAGATTTTTGCCTTTGTTTTTCTGAGAATGAGATTTCTGACGATTAGTAGTAAACAAGAGAAACGTGCAGTATGTCGCGAAAGCAATTCACGACGTCCGAACGCAGGGCCATGCACTCAACGGAACCAACGGTACAAATGGCACAAACGGTGTCAACGGGCACTAGATTTTATCTTTTACTTATAGATCATAAGAGCTAAAATGCCCTCCCGGGTCAAAATAGAAATATTCATTAGAACACCATTATGCAATATGATCCCGAATGAGACAACTTAGTGCATTACCTGCCTAACTGGAGAAGTCTCCTAATTTTTTTCTTTTCCTAATCTTATGGAGCTTTGTCTTGTCGCCTTATAGTTTTTCTCTGTTGATACGATGAAGAGAAAATGCGATCTGGAGCTCACTTGTAGTCAAATGGGATGGTCTCCGATGCCGGCCCGAGCTCGGCTCTAAAATTTACGCCGCAAGATCAAAAGTACAACAGGTTCATCAACAATTTGCGACTGGACAATAGACTATAAAATCGATTTGCCAAATTAAATTGGTAACATGTAAGGTCACAGTAGCCTTTCGTCAATTGCATCAGGCTCTGTAACGTCTTTTGTCGCAATCACGGACCTCTACTGTACGACAACCTCTTATACCCTTATCACAGATATCGTATCTGCAGTCTTCTATGTGGATAGTCTATAATATGAGTCTTAGACAAGCCCTTGAACTATCTACAACCTTTCCGCAGTGGACGGCCTCATATCTCGGCGGAGATACCAAGCGGGCCTTCGCCGCTAAATTCGATGAGCAGCTCCTTTCCCACTCGACCATTATCGATCGTTAGACAATCTAAACCAAACATGTACTGCTTTTCCAGCCCACGAAGTCTGATGTCATGAGTATACAAGTTTGACGTGTATGCAGTCACCAGTCCTGCGCTGTCTCTGGAACTTTGTCTAAACGATTAGGAGACTGGGTACTTGAGTCAAGGAACCGGATGATACATACATTTCTCCCGAAGTCCGGCCAAATGCAACTGGTATGGAATAGGGCACTCCAGTAAACGTTAGCCATGCATAACAAAACTCATTTGGATGATTGACTCAGTATCGTCGCGTCGGCGTTGTTGAGAATTGCATTATTCAGCCGGCCCAATTCTGACAACGAAACCACGCTATGATCAAAACTCAAGTTCTAAAAGCATCACGCGTAACGAGGTCAAAGCAATCCTTCTGCTTCTCAAGCTTCAGACTTCACATCATTAGTGGTCACTTGGGTATGCATGTCCACAGAGAACGGTGGGGCATTAAACACCATTTTCCTAATTAGGAAATTCTCAACTCAACAACCTAGCCTTTGCCAGCGGATAACTCGGGAACTCAGTGACGAACTTTTTCAGAGTCAATGATAGGCTACCGTGATGTCTTGTCTTAGACAGTACCCCGTCGGAGTCCGACTTGGCCATCCGGACAGAAGATGATGATATGACTTTGAGATGTATAAATGACCAGCGATCTCCCAGTATTAACATCTCTACATCTTCTTTACAAGCCTCAAATAACCTCAAACTCTTTCTTTTTGAATAATTGCACCATGCCCGATACCCTCACTCTCCAAGGCAAAGTCGCCATCGTAACCGGCTCAGGTCGTGAAAACGGCATCGGCGCTGGTATTGCCCTCGCCCTCGCTCGAAACGGTGCCTCAGTCGTAGTAAACTACGTCTCGGACTCTTCCAAGCATCGCGCTGAGAACGTCTGTACCATGCTTCGTGAGGCAGGAGGAAAAGCCATAGCTATTCAAGCTTCAGTCGATACTACCGAAGGAGCAAAGTATCTCGTCGATAAAACCCTTGAGGGGTTTGCGACCGATCATATTGACATTCTTGGTAGGTTTCTCGTGCAAACTCATTCTCCGGAGCTGACTTCTGTAGTGAACAATGCTGCGACTGCATTTTTTTGTCCTATTACTGATGAACCGAATGTCGAGCAATTGACCAAAGTCTTCCAGCTCAATGTTCTCGGAGCGTTCTACACGGTCCACTACGTTATTGCTCACATGCCTCCCGGTGGTCGTATCATCAACATCAGTTCCACCAACGCCAAGCGAGGAAACGTCGCGGTCTCTGCGTATGCAGCCTCCAAAGCCGCTCTTGATAACTTGACATGGACATGGGCTGGAGAGGTGAGTACCCCAACATATTCCCTCTGTCTGATAGATACTGAGAAATATGAACAGCTCGGTCGTAGCAAAGGTATTACTGTCAATTCAGTGGCTCCAGGTCCTGTGAGGACGGACTTTTATCCTAAGGGGCAGGAGGATGAGTTGATGAAGTTGGAGGTTGATATCACTAGAGCTGCTGGTCGCCCTGGAACGCCCGAGGATATTGGTGATGCTGTTCTTTTGTTGGTTCAGGAGAAGTCTCGATGGATCACAGGGCAGTATATTGGTGTTAACGGTGGTGTAACTTACTAGGCGTTGGCATTAGCTTGTAAAATGTTACGCGTACTAGGATAGCCATTCTCCAATATCAGACCGAAGATGAGTCATCTCTAACGGCGAAACTTTTTCAATCCATACCACCTTCCGTAAACAATTCATCAAGTCCTCCCATGATCGTAGCCGAATGCGTGACATGGTCCGTGTAATCTGATCCAGATACCAGGGCTTCGAAGAACCAACTCCCATACAGACCTGGATAACCAACACCCAGAGTTGCAGCTCCTCCTTTCCCTTCCAGAACTTGTCATCTAACTGCGCCATAAGTTGTTTAACCGAATTATTTCTTCTTGCTGCAATGTATAGTGCATCGCCAGATGATTGTGTCATGACCAACGCGAACAGACAAACAGATGAGATGCGCACTATCTCTGCGAGGATTTCAGTAGATGTTGCATTTAAAATTCCTTTTCGCTTAGGCAGAGAGATCTTTCTTTGTAGCGATAAGACTTGGTGTGCGAGAGCGCAGACTGGAATGAGGAGATCGAGCGCGAATGGGCTCACGAGCCATACTTCATTGAGGAAGATGGCGACTTGATTCGTCAATGTGAGGGCACCATCGATGACAGCAATTTGTTCCTGGTTCGGTCGTTCATCACTTCTCAATGACGTTAGAAGCTTTTGTAAATATTTTGACCTGGTAGCTTCAGGCAAAGTAGGTAAATCTCGAGGTAGAGGAAATCTCGGTTCCGCGTCTTCTACCATTGAGCCCAGGAGATCGCAGCTATGCTAGTAAGTCAGTTTGATGAGCAGGAAGTTCAAGAGACTTACATGAACAGAGATTGTCGGATAGCGGGGCGTGAGTCCAATTCTTCAACTCCCCCAGCCATGTCAACTATCCTTTCCAGCCCTGCCATATGAACCATCCAAGATTCCGAATTCCCAGCGCGCATCTATCTCGTCAGCTAAAGTAAGACTTCAACACCATGGCAGCGACTCACATCAAAAGTCGCCAGACAGATAATCGTCCCAATAACAGCATTCTCACTAGCTTTACTCTCCACCTCAATCCCCTCCCTCACCAAGCTCAACGATTCAGTATACTGTTGAATCTCTTCCACAGTCGGTGGACTCTCAAACGTCGCGGTAATTTTCTGCCTCAATCTCAAAACAGGGTCGACAATAGCTATTGATAGCAGTCCTTCCGACACCATATCCATGGCCCGAAATAATCGTCGGAAATTATAGCAGACTTGTGCGTCGCCCCAGTATGTCGGAATAAAGATCGACTCGCTTGTTGGATGGGGTGTGCGGACTGTACCCATTCGCCGGGAGAGGCCTATGTCTTTCATTACATGTTGGCGGATTTTTCGTTGAGCTGCTTTGTCTTTTTTGGCGGGGTTGACTTGGACGAATGCGAGAGTTGAGGGCTGGGTGTTGTTTTTCAGGGGAGGTTTCGGAGTTGTAGGAGCTTTTTGGACCTTGAATCTAATCTCCATTTTGGCAATAGTATATTTCGGGAATGAGAATGTTGAGATTAATATGAGGCTGCCTTGAATGCGTCTCATCGTGGTTTAGTGAACGGGTCAAATAATTACCCGATTGCTGAGGTGAGGTGGCCAATGAGGTCAGTGAAGAAAACACAGGGGCTGAGATAAGCTTATCCCGATCCTTATCGCACCCGCCATGTTCATGTTTCCCATCGGCCAACGTTTAGTTGGCAACTTACCCTGCACGTCAGTGGCTGGTAGCAACCATCCTCCTCCTGTTTGTGCAATTGGACAATTGGTTCGTTGAATAAGGGAATGGTTCTTATTCAATAATTACTCTAAAATATTCTGCTTTTTTCTTTTGTCTTGATTATGTGAGATGTTTTCCTCCCAAGCGTTACAACGTCGGGCTGCCTAGTCAAGAGTGTCTTTGACTTGCCAGACACAGAAAGGCATGCCAATGCGCAATTCGTGAAAAAAGACTATTTCACCAATAACGGAACTCATTCTCCTTCACATGATATCTCTCGTGTTATATCCCCTATCCGTTAGAATTATTGCTTTCCTCGGATAGCAAACCCAAGCCCTTTGTTCCAAGGCAGACATGCCGATCAACGACCCCAGACCAGACCGCCCCCGGAAGCGAATCTGACTGGTCCGATCCCTCAATCGAGATGAATCCAGACCTCCCTCCCAACCACGTGGTCCACCAAACAAGCATCAAAATAAACACTCAGATTAGCATTACGCATCACTCTAATAAAAAAGACCAGTCTGGGCACAGCATCATCCCTCGGAAGGCAGCGCATTCCAACTCATCTTCCTCGGAACACCAACCTATCAGCACTCACCCCCCACGGCCCCAAGTCTCACCTTAGCATAGTCGCAATCTCCGCGGGGAACCCTAATGCTCCCTCCACCCAATCACAGCGCCTCTAAAGCCGACATGATATGCCGGCAGCTGCTGAGAGTTTCCGTCCTCCCCCAGATTTTAGATTTTCTGTACCCCAGGTAAAACGGCCAACTCCAGTACCCCGGATCCGATAAGAACCCCGCTCGCACTAGCACTGAGTAGGTGAGTTGATCGAGAGATTGGGTATAAAGGGGGTGAGACCGATGCCGATCTTGGTCACTTTTTCTTCTGCATCATCACCTTCATCGCTTCGAGATGGATACCAGCGCGCAGAACGAGAAATTGCAGAATGGCGCTGATACTGCGTCTAACATGACCGAGACTCCCGGCGCGACTGTGGAGAGGTACGCGTTTTCCGTTCACTGACTCAATTAGACTCCCACGCGCTGACTCACGATCTGCAGCATTGAGAATGCGCAGTTCTACATTGATCCCAAAGCAGAGGCTCGACTGCGCCGAAAGATTGACTGGATGATCGTTCCGACCGTCTGCCTACTCTATCTATTCTGTTTTATTGACCGCGCCAATATCGGTACGCGCTCTCTTCCTCACTCATTGAATCTCTAAAATTAACACGAGTCAGGAAACGCCCGCCTCGCAGGCTTGGAAGAAGATCTCGGTCTCACAGGCAACGACTACAACCTCGTCCTATCAGTCTTCTATATCAGTTATATCGTCTTTGAGATCCCCGCCAACCTTCTCTGCAAATACATGGGCCCCGGATGGTTCATCCCCTTGACATCATTGGGTTTTGGCCTCTGTTCTATTTTCACTGCGTTTGTCTCGAATGTTCATCAGATTTGTGGTGTGAGATTTGTCTTGGGTATTTTTGAGGCTGGTATGTTGCCTGGTATTGCGTATTATATGTCGCGATGGTACAGACGATCGGAACTTACCTTTCGGCTGTCGTTGTATATCGTTATGGCGCCGCTGGCTGGGGCGTTTGGTGGCCTTTTGGCATCGGCGATCTTGAAGCTTCCTAACTTTGGTCGGTTCACCAGCTGGGAGATGATCTTTGGTAAGTCTTCTCACCTCTCACAGCATGATCAAACACTGACTTTCCTGTAGCCATTGAAGGTATCATCACCGTCGGCCTGTCCATCATCTCATTCGGTAAGTTTCCTGCTTCTCATGACCTCTCCCATCGCTAACGAGTCTCAGCCACTCTCACCGACCGTCCCCAATCAGCTGCCTGGCTCACCGAAGAAGAAAAAGCCCTCGCCCTCAACCGCATCAAGGCCGAACGTCTCGGCACAACCGAAGTCCTCGACAAGATGGACACTGCCAAGATCATCGCCGGAATCCGCAGTCCCCTCACGCTGTCAACAGCCATCATCTTCCTCCTCGACAACATCACCGTTCAAGGCCTCGCCTTCTTCCTGCCCACCATTGTACGAACGATTTATCCCGAGCGAACAACTATTTCCCAACAGCTCTTCACTGTGCCACCATATGTCGTCGGCGCCTTTTTCACGGTGCTTATTCCGGGAATCAGCTACAAGTTTGATAGGAGGCAGATCTTTATTATTCTTTGTGCGCCGATGGTCATGGTTGGTTATGCCATATTTTTGGGCACGACGAACGGGCATGCGAGATATGGTGCTACGTTCCTTGTTGCTAGTTCGGCGTTTGCACTGGCGCCTTTGACAAATTCTCATATCAGCGCCAATGTTCTCAGCGACACAGCGCGCAGTGCAGCGATTGGCACAAACGGTACGTTCGTCACCTTCACCTTTGACAAGATACTAACTATTCACAGTCATGTTTGGTAACATCGGCGGACTCATCTCCACCTGGTCCTTCGTCAAGAGTGACGCGCCCAACTATCCCATCGGCAACGGCTTAAACTTGGCCACTTCGAGCACGATTCTTGTGCTTGGTGCCGCGACTCTTTGGTGGATCAAGCGCGATAACCGGAAGCGGGCTAGTAGATCAGCTGAAGCTGAATTGGCTGGTTTGTCGCAGCAGGAGATTCAGGACCTGGACTGGAAGAACCCCAACTTCAGATGGATTGCTTGAGTGACGGTCTATGGTTCATAGTATATTGAGAGTGATTCAATGAACTTGTAATTTTCCAACTCCATGTTCTCAATACTACGGCGGTCCAATCGACAGGCTGTGATGATTTGCGGACTGAGCGCTGGGTGTCTCGAGCTTTGGCACTGAGTCATCAATAGTGTCAGTGTAATATTGATTCAATGTGGATCCTGAGTCGATAGTCAGCTAAGCTAGAATCCTTAGCCCAACACTAACAGAAAACCCGGTTCCCGTTTTGTCGGCATCAGGGCTCCCCCTACCAACTCAATCACAACAACCTTTCAATCATCGGTCTACGGTCGCAAAAGCCTGCAAATAATTATCTGACTTAGCTCGGCTGGCAATTCAGCGGCAGCAAATTCGTCACATTCAACATTCCATTCAACGTGATGCTGGTCTCCCCTGATTAAAAACCGCCGACAGCAAAATCCAGCTATTTGCATTGCTGGGTTCAGCGCTATGGGGCAGCGGGGCAATTATTTGCATGGCTGCGTTCTGGAACCTGCTTGTCTGACATCGCCTGTCACAGATGGATTAATCTCAATCTTGAGGAACTTCCCTGCAGAAATTTGAAATGAAATCGTTTTAATCCACAACCTTAAAACGACGTCGTTCAACTCTGATAGCTCTGCCAGTAATGCGAATGATTCAGAAACGCGTTTGTGGCCGGAATAATGCTGTGTTTGCTTGGGTGAGACCTTAAGCTCTTGATGACACGATCCTGTTTGTTTGAGATTCATTTCAGAGCTGTTGCCAAAATAAAATGGTTTCTGACACTAAATGCCATATACCAGTGATTAGTTTACTTCAGATCTCAGGTATATAACATTACGCAGACTCGCAGTCTCTTTCCATTTCCTCAAGGTTATACCACCGAATTCTCAAATCTCCCTCGCTATTATTACACACCAATAACAGTTCCCTATCTAACTTACAACCGGAATCATGTGTCAGATCAGAATCATTAGGAAGAAATGCCAAAAATGCCTTGAGGACTTCCCTGACGAGGTTAGCGTGAGCCGTTGCCAGAAAGCCGTAGATAAAAATGTTGCAAAGTGCGACCCATCAGATTGCTACGAGGTTGGAGCACTAGCGTTTGGAAATTGGAGAGATTGCAAGAAGTGCTGGGCAAAGTATGAGGCGGAACTTGAGGCGGAGCGTGAGAAGCAGAGGCTTTTGTTGTTGCAGCAAGTGAACTGATCGTTGGGTTGAGACGCTGAGGAATGAGGAATGGGGGGTATGGTATATCTGAGACCTTGAGGCTTAGCTAAAACATGATTTGGGAATAATCACTCTAGCGTTAGCAAAACATCAAGGATAAAACAGAAACCGTGTAGTTGAACTGCTTCTAGTGTCCAGACGTGAGAAACTCGATCATGCATTTGCCTTAGGTGTATTCATAGCTCAGCCGCTCGGCTTGCTTGAACCTGTATCCAAATCACTTTGCTAGAATTACTGACCAAGCTGGTTTCGATGATGACTTATCTTGTGAGCCGCACCACCTGTGACCTTTCGCTGCAGGGCAGGTCTACTGAATCGCTACTGGACCATGACACTGACACTGATCAAGCCCAGCATGTTGGGAATACGGGCTTGGAACATGCTTTGTTACTCAAGGAACCTCATAAAGAGTTCTTTAATTCCATGCGCCTATACTATAAGGCGGACCTTTCAAGCGAGGAAGTGCCACAACAACAATGTGGGAATACGGTATGGAACAGGCTGCATTGTCGACAAATGGGTCATCAGCCCTTGTAATGAATCGCAACACCATCTGTCATGTCATATAGTCTATCATTCCACTGAGCTTAACTTTATCCACTCGTCAATCCACCCCTGGACAGTCAGGCCATCACCATACTATTCGTGTCCAGTGGTGGTGCCCTAGAGTAGGTTAATCAATTAGTGAATGGATGACGCTGGCAGATTCTGAACATGGCTCCAAATGATCTCTCCACGCTAGGCCGAGGAGCCACACGGGATTACTATCATAGAAAACGCCGAGGAAACGACGCCACAGATGTTAATTGGCATAGATGAAGTTGAAATAAACTTTAATACACGTGATGGGGGGCCCAGAGATTAATGTCATTCACGCAAGGGATTTTAAAATGAGGTTGAAAAGGGGGCGGCCAAGGGAACGGTCTAGAATCGGCAAAACTACGGTTCACGGGAAAATGGCCCACCATTTGCAATCACAATTTTATTTCATCCATTTTCCAAGTCGAAGAAACAGAAAAAACAAGTCTGGCTTTCGCGATGATGTCAAATACTGCGATTCGGATTATATGTACCGAGTTGATTACACATAAAGCTTCATGGCAAGGCCTGTCTTTTCGCTGAACGTCTGAAACTCCTTGGGGAATGTCGCCACCCACGGAATAATAAGATCATTCCAGAAGTTAAAACCGAATGAGTCACAGTCCATATCGGTTGCCATGACCTCATCCTTAGTACCCGCCCAGATACCATACCGGTTTCCCGACATCGACACCGTGACATTGCTGGCCAAGTCGAGCATGTCGTTCCACGCCTTACCCTCGTTAGAGTGCGGCCTATTAGGCATCTTTATCACTCTGCTCACACGTTGACCAGGCTTAAGCTCGAAGAGGTCACTATAACACCCCGGTCGGTAGCCGTGAGCATCCGCGAGAAAACGCTCGCCAAACACAACACCTTCGGTTTCGGTATGGAAGTGGAAGTAGCCGAGACCAAAGGCATGCTTGCCGATGGGAGACAAGTCCTTCCAGAAGGTGATGGGGCCGGTGCCGTTGTTGGTGATGGTGACTTGGATGGTGATGGGTTGAGTATTGATTTGCTTCATGGACACGAGGACGTTCTGCACGGCCTCGTGGACTCTGGGGGTGAGGTACCTCATGTCTTCACGGCAGATGCTGGGATCGGGGCACTTCCAGCTGGTGGGGACGAGTTCAAAGGCCAGGTATTCTTGTCTGGAGAGCGCGGAGATGTTCTTAGTGTGACCAACGCAGTGATCATCTTCATCACGTTCAGGGACGGGAATTGCATTCTTGTATTCAAGACGGCGGACGATCTTTGTTGCGTTGAGGGCAGCTTGGCTAGTGGCAAGAGGGGCAATAGATGTGCGGGAGATGACAGAGGTGGTGAGAGACGGAGTAGGGGAGGCGGAAGTAAGAGAGCCAAGAAGGCCAAGGGCCAAGATAGTCTTCCTGAGGAAATGCATCTTGGATGATGGTTGTGATTGAAAAGGTTGCTGAGTGCAGGTGTGAGATGAGATAGCTGTCTTGTTGAGTGAAGAATCAAGACCTGTTCTTCTCAAACCTGGGATAAGACGCAATATATATAGGAATTCGCTGCTAAGTGAAATGGCTTGGGGTCGTCGTAGATTTCCTGTAAATGAAGGTCACTTTCGAATTTCCGTCACATGGATAAACATAGTTTCGTTGTCGACATGGCAAAGACTCCATGACGCTTGCTTATGCGTGGATGTGTGTACTAACTCTCTGCTGGCTTCAGTATACAGCTCCCGAAGAAGTCCGGTAGCCAGTTGTTAGAATCTGATATGGGTTTAGCTTTTACTTCGCGCAGTCTTGGTTTTGCAATCATGCTGAAGACAATTGTATGGAGAAGGGTGATTGGGGGAATAAACAAGCTTTCGTTTGAACGATCCCTATAAACCATCTTATTGGGATGTTTTTTCTGGACTTCTATCTACTTGTGTTTTCTTTTTGCAAATTCTACATTCACATCTTCGCTCTACATCCATCCCCCAAAGTTCATTATAGACCTTGACCCTATTGAAGTTCGCGTTCATAGGGTTATGAGACATGATCATATGATAGGTCTCATTGGCTATGTCCTGCAGTCTCATGTAGGTGATTGCCGCCTATGAGGCTTAACTTTAGGCTGCGAACACAGGTGATGAATGAGAACATGGCATTGATGTTCTGAATTTTGTATTTCGGCGAGGCTAAATATTCTTCAGGTGACGTAGTTTAGCTATTTAACCTTCCTTCTCTTAGCCATGCCATCTTCTTTCCCTCTGCCGTCTACGAGGTCCCGATTGCAGCTCTTCGTCGCTAGCATCTAAAACCATCGATCTCGTACGGGATCTCTAGATAGATTGCTAGACTACACCACTAGCCTCCAACATACAAGGAACAATCAGACAGTTTCTAATCAGCCTTGCATTCGCAGCCCTCTTTGTAAGGGCCTTCGCCGTCGCAATGAGGACATTTTTCATCTGGTGGACAGCAATCCCTTTTCTCTAAGCGGGCAGATCCTGGCTGGGTGGAAGTAGAGGCCATTGTTTTCCAGCTTTGCGTAGCTGTTGTCAATTTGGGCCCCTCCTCAGAGCGGCCATATTCAGCCGGTTCAGGTGTAGTGGCGACCTTTTCCGCAACACGCTGTGAGGCACTATTTGAGCTTGGCTCCTCACTAGCTGGATCCTCTGGGATAGCCGGTCCTGGTGACTCAGTTGGTAGCGATTCACCTGCTGGGGACTTGGCAGCTGGCGGTTCAGTGGTTAGCTGTCCACTAACAGGCTTCGCGTCATCCTTTGGACTCGTAGACTCAGATTGCTCTATGCTTGAACTTTTTTCCGTCTCATCTGCAACGTCGGAACCGACGCGTGACGATTTATCGCCATATGTAGTCTCATTACCCGCACTAGTTTCAGGCTCAGCACCATGTTTCGGGACAGAATAGGACGGCTCCGAGGAGACATAATGCTGCCTAGGAAAGCGTAGCAGCAGCTTGTTCTGCGCAGACCAAGTGAGGCCCAGGCTGCTCCAGATGTTGTTGCAGGAATAGCCCAGATCACTGTTCATAACCTCAGGCGCAGTTGCAGCCCAGAAGCCATTCCACTGTCCCGACATACCGATTTCAATGTCACCACCTTCCTTCACCATCTTATGGAAGAAATGGTTCGGGTTGGTCAAGACAATGTCTGCCTCCAACGCCTCGCCAGGGGAGATGACAGAAAGTTCAGGTGCAGTTTCTGGCCTGTACCCCGCTGGCGGAGGTGCTTGAGCCGTAGCATCAACAGAATGATGACCTAGGGGGGTGATCGTGAAGTACTCATAGTCAAAGGCATACTGGCTGAGAGGAGAGTACCTTGTCCAAAAGGTGATTGGGTAGGCATCATGGTTGCTGATTTTGACCTTGACGGTAAGAGGATTTGAAGAAATGAGGCTAAGGGTGACATGAGCGTTCTGAGAGGCTCTGCAGAGCTTGCCATCAGATTGCCAGCCGCAAGGATCTTGCTTGGTGACAGGGCCGATGAGCGCCTTGGCAAGGTTTTCTTCCTCTAGAGTAGGCCATTTACCGATGTGGTGACTAGGCCTGGGGATTCCGACGGGGCAGAGCCAGGGTTCATGATGGCCTTGGGGAAGCTGGATGCAGGGATGCACGCAGCCAGGGTTTGTCGCAGCGACGTACCCCAAGGACCCGAGGACGAGCATGCCCCGGGAGAGTAGGTTGGGGTACATCTTTAAGCAGTGTGGACTTTACTTTAGATGTCTGGGTCGGGGAGAATTTGGGAATGAAAAGTGATGTGGGGGAGAATACCTGACGAAGACAAGGTTCTGAGTTCCTTTCTTTCGGACAGGGGAGGAAGCAATGCCTTAAGTAGCTGTGATTATTACGTGCGAGGCGCGTGGTGTGAGCCATCAGCTGTGGGGTCTATCAACTCAAAATAACACTCTTATCAAACTCAGTCCGGGTAGTATACCAGCTACCCAACACAGTTGCCCAAGAAGATATCACGTACAATTGGCGAGTAGAAATGTATTAACTCTGACCATTATGCACTGACTAGTTCTGTTGGGCCGGGAGACAAGCTCTGCATACATGACTTCGTGACACTATCTTGAGGTTCTATTCCTTGGGTCGTACAACCTATGAGATTAGACATTCACCACTTAAAACTATCACGAGCGCCTCAGTGTGCCACCTCGTTGGCCAAATGGTCGTTGTGAAGATTTCGGTTAAGTAATATTAAGTTTGGGGCTGATGCCCTAGTCTCCAGCGCGTCCCTTTGCTACAAGATCCCGTCATTATCTACTCGTATCTTCGAGTCTTTGTCACCGAAATAAGCACAGAGCCTCGATCTGTCAGGCCAGTAGGGAGAGAAGATTGTGAAGAGTTGGAGATGTGGCTTGGTGGGCTTGCTCTACATTGACAGGATCAGTATCCCAAAAAGAGACGTGCCGTTGAGCCATTGGAGCTCACCCGAAGTCTGCAAAGGAGACAGTCGTCCGGATGTCGTAACCATCCTGGACATGAAGGCAGAAGAATCGCATGCCACTTTCACGTTTCCCGCGCGTCATAAGTTCATTGGCCAACGCCGCACGTGCCATCTCATCGAATTGTCAAAGCCCCATTCACGATCACTCCTCCAAGTTCCACGCGCGCAATTCAGCGTTCAGTCTTTGAAAGAGAATGGCAGACAATTAACCGAATCCCCTTATCTGGTCCTGTTTCCACTGGTGGAATACAGTGGAAAGAAAGGTATACGCGAGTTTTTCACTTCAAGCCTTCTCTTTCATGCTTTATTGTAGTTACGTGCAATTTGCGAGCTTTCTTGACTGGAGGCCGCCCCATGTTGACAGCTTCACTGCTGTGAAGGCTGAGATAACCACTGAAATACGTAATCAGTCGTAATTATGGTGGAGCGGGGCGCACCTCTGTTCTGCACCGGGCATGCTGAAATGGAAGGCTTCTTCCGGGTAGTCGAGTTTCGCAATAGGTCACCGCATTAAATACAAGCGAGCAAAGCAGTTGACCAGAATTCTGCTCCGCACAAAGTCAAGAAACGTCTATTATATATGTTTACCAGCAGACAATGATATCCATTGAGCTAATATCTTAACCTTTACATCGTGCGACGGATTAGCAGTGTGTAGACCTTCAATTCGAAAAGTCAAGAAATGATATTTTGGTTGTACATTTAATCCATGCCTCCCAATGGAATAAGTCCGCCAATCTCTCACTAGATAAGGCTATCTGAAAACATTATCGATTAGATAAAACCATGAAATTCTTGGCAGGTTATCGATAACGGTGTCCGTCTCAGCGGAATAACAGCGGAGCGGCCATTCCTCTTATCAGTTGCTTATCTTTTCCTCTCGTGAACTGAGTCAAGCTTATTCCATGGCTCGCGGACACATTCATCCACATAATGATTTAACTTACGCTGAGCGGAGCGGAAGTGCCGATCAGCGACGCTCCGCCTCTGAGTCCGCCGCAGCTCGTAGCCAGACTAGTCATGTTTGGTGATCACGACAGCAGTTTCACGATCGGGAATGACAATTATCTACGGGTCTACTCCAGTCAGCTTGGTGAACATTTTGAGCAATTCGTCTTGCCACTCAATTTATTTCAACAGGATATTATCATGATCAGCGAGTTTGGGAATGGCAAAGATGGGTTTATCCATTCTTTAATGGAGCTTTGATGTCATTTACCCTAAATCTTCTGCCTTGAAAATTCTGAGTCACTGATCATCAGCAACACAAAGACAGATTACCTGATTTCATCAGCAAAGGAATTCTGCTATCTTGCCGGTATCCAGGGTGTATCTGGAATTCTGTTAATAGTGTTCTAAATCAGCCTGCAACGGGATTATCACCGCCACCAATTTTCGTATCTTCAGCCTGGCTGGTATCACCATGAGTCAGTCTAACAACTCGTGCAACAAAGCCCAGCACTCCCCAGCTTCCTACAAGACACGACACATAAGCAGCAGCCAAGCTCACCGGCCTCCGAGTCTCCCGACTTTCCCATAACATCACCTGCTCGCCCTCGCATTCTTTGTTGGTGCACTCTGCTTGGCGGCACCACAAGTCCACTTTAAATAAGCATAACGCGAGCATGCTTAACAAATAACCTTAAACGCCAAGTAGCCGCCAAGCGCCAAGCGCCAATCTCAATACTCCGCCAACCTCGAGCCAAGAAAGCCGCCCCCTTTTGCAATATCTTGGCCAGGTGACTTGGCCATTCCCTCATATGCTCATGATTCGCTTTGGCCGAATCATTCTTACAGCCAAGGTCTTGGTGCACTTGGCCACCGTTTGGGGCTTACGACTGTGAAGCGGCCTGTGTCTCCCCATCCCTCGCTCTCTTTTCTTTTCCACTGTCGATCTTATTTATCTGAGCGGTAGCTGTTTCTTTTTTTAATCTTGATTACAACAAATGCTGAGGCTGATTAAAAACATTACGCGTTAGAAGAGATGATCGAATCGTCGTAAGCGTTCAGCCTCAAGATTAGCGCCCATTTGTAAACGCGGACGATTCAGCTAGATATCGGCATCGGAATCAGAAATCCCGCAGCTTCTACTCTCGGAGCGGAAAAAGCGCCTGACATAATGGCAGGTGGCGTGTATTTCCTCCCTCGGAGTCCATTGACAGGCTTTCCCTCACCTTCTTCCGCGGCGGTAGTGGAGCACTCGAGCACCTGTTCTCTGTCTTGGCTTACAACCTCCTTCGATATCCTGTTTTTAGTTTCCGCCCTGGGTAGCTTTGACCTGCTTGAATCACCCACGCAGATCTCATGTTTTAGTACTGTCTCTCATCATCTCCCCTTGTTCTCTGCCGTCAATAAAACCTTGGCTTTTGTTTAGAAAGAAAGTCTGAGGCATTTTCCCGTCCCTAGCTTTAAACTTGATATCTAGCTTTTCTCTCCCCCGCGTTCTTCTCTGTACAAAAAGCTTTCCGCGCCCTACATACTGTGTCCTAAACGCCACTATTGTAGAAATTCTTACTTCTGACCTCACCTGACTCTGCGCTGCCTTTTCTCTTTTGTTTGCCTCTTATGTTCTGTTGGTGAGGAACATACTCGCTGCTGAAGAGCTTTTGTACTCGAAAGGCTTGTTGACTTTTCTCTGGATAGTGTCTGGTACACATCCTGCCCAAATCCTCTCCGTCATCAAGCCTACAGCACCATCACCAACACCTCGCCAATTCGTATTTCTTCAGACAAGTGAACCAAGAAACCGGCAGACCTGAAGACTATATACTTCTGGATCCAAACATTTAGTTACGTGATTCTGCATACATCCTTGACGCCAAAATGCCGGTCCTCAACCTCAGTGAGCTCAACATCGTGTTGGGAGTCTTGGGTCAGTACGATTCCTTCCTGGGCATTTCTTGGTGGTGATTTGCCCAGATCTTGGCGGGCCTTGGCATTCTGACAGAGTTTTCGCAGGTGGCTTCATGGCATTGTATGGTATCATTTCTGTCAAGATCAAGCAGTCATGGTACCTTGGAGAGGCTTGTAAGTTATACTGATCTATGTTTCTTAATGGTCACTGATGGTGTTGGTGCGCAGTGCCTGCGATGGTGTTTGGCATCATTCTTGGACCAGTCTCAGCCAAGTTTCTCGATAGTGAGAGATGGGGTTCGGCAGAGCCTGGTCAGACTGAGGACATTGCTCTGGTAAGTAACACCGATGCTGCTACAACGCCCTGTGACTGAACTTTTTAGGGTCTGATGCGAGTTGTCATTGGTGTTCAGCTCGTCATCGCTGGTTACTCGCTGCCGGCAAAGTACAACGTGACTCGCTGGAAAGAGTTACTCATGTGCCTGCTGCCAATCATGACCCTCATGTGGCTTTTGACGACCGGCTGCATTCTAGCCACTGTTCCCAAGCTTAGTCTTCTTGCTGCGCTGGCCCTTGCATCATGCGTTACATGCACCGACCCTGTGCTCTCACAAGCTGTTGCGAAGGGTCCTTTTGCGGACAAGTATGTTCCTCGACACCTCCGAGAGATCATCTCATCTGAAGCTGGTGCCAATGACGGATTCGGTATGTTCATCTTGTCGCGATGGCGGAGCAAGTAACTGACAGATGTAGGCTTCCCGTTTCTCATGCTTGCCGTCTACCTGATGCGACATGCATACGAGCATCCTGAGCAAAGCGGTGCTGAGGCCGCGCACCTTGCTGCACGCGCCAGTGAAGAAGTTGGACGTCTTGGTGGTGGTATTGGTGAAGCTATGAAGAACTGGGTTGTTGAGACTTGGCTCTACTACGTCGCCATGGGTATCGCCTACGGCGCTGTTGTCGGTTTCACCTCATGCAAGGCCATCAAGTACGCGATGCGTCGGTAAGTCTCAAACTATCCATCAAGAATTAACAAAACATGCTGACAATACAACTCACAGAGGATGGGTCGATGAAGAATCTTATCTGCTCTTCCCCGCAGCTCTCGGCCTCTTCATCATCGGCACGACAGGCGCCATCGGCACAAACGATCTCGTCGCCTGCACCGTCGCTGGCAACATGCTCAACTGGGACGGCGAATTCCTCGCCGAGACGCATCGCCGCCACGACGAAGTCAACCACTGCATCGACGTGCTGCTCAACTTTGGCGGTTTCATGTTCATCGGCATAGTTCTTCCCTGGGAGTCGTTCCACGACCCCGACGGCACTGGCGTTACGGTGCCCAGACTTATCGCTCTTGGCTTCATGGTCCTTGCGTTCCGACGCATCCCGGCCATTTTGCTACTGTACAAGGCCATGCCTGCTGTTGTCAAGGATTATAAAGAGGCGCTGTTCATGGGTTATTTCGGGCCTATTGGTGTCGGCGCCGTCTTCTACCTTGAGCACATGAAGCACTTGTTTCCTCATCCTGAAGACGCAGACCAAGAAGAGCGCGATCTTCTGGCTGCTCTCGGTCCAGTCATCTACTTCCTCGTCTTCTTCTCTATCGTCGTGCACGGCCTTTCAATCCCTCTTCTAGACTTTGTCTACCGCAAGAGAGGCGTTGAGCCCATCCAAGACGACGCCATTTCCATCCGCCGCAAGTCATTCACCTCAGCGACGCCCGTCAACGCGATCGCCGCTGATGAAGACAACTTCATCGCGTTCAATCGCTTCAGCAGGCCTGTCGACGAGAACGGAATACTGCCTGGTGAGATCCCGCCTGCTGTTTTGGCGAGGAATGAGTTCGCTGTGTTTTCTGGCGATCATTCGTCAGAGGATGATGAGAGGGAGAGGGAGGAGCAGGAGAAGAGACGGCAGAGACGGACGATTCAATATATGGTTTAGAATTAGCATAGCATCATAGATTTCAGTATAGCGTTGCACTTTAGAATTGAGCATGGAGTTGGTGTTTTACTACGTGGATCCATCTAGATGCGTTGTGATCTGCTTGTTCCCTTGAGTCACGTCTCTCTGCTTAATCGTTTCTTCTCGCGTCTCGTCCCAAACCTGACGTCACTGAGATGAGATAAGATAAATCCCCGGCTTGGTTTGCAAAAGGCCATTCCCGAATAAATCCCGACATTATTTGTGAAAGATGCATAACTATCAGCCTTAGGTTGCACAATATGCACAATATGCATAATGCTCACGACGCCAAGCCTTCAATAAACATAAAAGTTCGTAACCTCCGGATGATCCCTCCTCGTCTTCTTGTTCAAGTGCTTCAAATGAAACCTCAATCCCCACGCAATAACAACAACACCAAGCGAAAACGCAATACTAGAAACCCAAGCAGTGGTATATCGCGGCTCATCAGAAGAAGGCCACAAATACGCCGTATACACATGAGCCAAATTGCCAAACGTATTGCAAATCGCAAGAGACACGGCCTTCTTCTCGCTCGTCTGTCCGACTGTTGCACTGATCCACGCAAGGATGATGTTATTGATACCAAAGCTGAACCCGACGAAGAGGTAGATGCTGAACATCCGGGCTGCTATGTTCAGGGTTGAAACAGCGACGATGAAGCCGACCATGACGATGCATTTGCAGATGGTGATGTGTAGCGTGCGCTCATTCCAGCGTCCTGACGTCCACGCCATGGCGATTCCGATCCCAGCGGCGAGGAGATATGGCGGGCACGTTAGGACTAGAGCGATGGTGTTGCTGTCGGTGAGAGTCCTCATAACGGTCGGGAGGAAATTTTGGAAGCCGACTGATGAGAGGTGAAGATTGTACATGAGGCATAGTGCCCATGTTCGCCAATCAGAAGCGGACTCTTTAAGACCGATCCATACGCTTGTCTTTTCACGAACGTCTGTCGTGTCGGTGTAGATGCGGTTATATGCGAGCTGTCGCTGCTCTTCTGAGAGCCAGCGCGTGGTAAGGGGATGGTCTGGGAGGAAGATGAAGGCTAGGATTGCGGTAAGGATTGATAACGCGCCTTGGATGATGAAGAGCCTGGTTTACTATGATGAGCGTTGTGAACGAATGTTGTATGAGCTGCATACCATTGCCAACCAGCCAGACCATGCTTTTGGTCAAGACCAGCAAAGACTCCAGCGGCGATAAGTCCCGCAAAGGAACTAGCTATCATGTTACCCGTATAGAAGATAGCTAGTCTGACAGCCAGTTCTTTGCGGGTATAGAACATGCTAAGAATGAACAAAGCTCCAGGATAAAACTGCGCAAGGTCAGGCGTAATTCTCGAATTTGGATTGCGATACTCACTGGGGCCTCGGTCACTCCGAGGATGAAACGAAGCGCAACCATACTACCGTAGCTGTTCGCCAAGAAAGTCACTAGACTGACGACAGACCAAGCGAGACAGAAGCCAGCCATGTACCAAGATGGCTTGACTCTGTTGATGAGCATGTTGCTTGGGACTTGACCGGCACTAGATGCGTTAGCTGCTAGTATTTCTGGAAATGATGGCAAGTGAACTCACATGTACCCGACAAACAGAATCGAAACGCAAGTATTATACTGCGTCCCAACAAGACCAAGATCCTCTTCCAGGGAATTGAGCCGCGCATTGACGAGGGCATTGCGATCGAGGTAGTTGAATAGGTACATGAACCATAGCATAGGCTACATCACCAGTCAGAGCCAACGAAGAATCACTGGATTGGAATGCTTACGAGAATGTACTTGTCCAATTTCTTCACAAGCGCAATCTCTCTCGGGTCCGTTTTCGCATGCGCTCCAAACTCATCTACCTTGTCCATCTTGGGAAACTTGGAAAATATGGCGTCATCGTTTGGTCTCGACTCAACATTGTCAAGCGCACGTTCAATATGCTCGTTGCGCGCTGTGTCGTCGGGTTTGTGGTCATGACCACCTGGGCTTTGGGCAATTGATGTCGCCATTTTCGCTGAGAATCTTTCAATCAATAATTATAAAGAATTTTCGTAAGATTCTGGAGTCAAGACAGAAGCAGATGCTGGTTTTTATGCAACTCGGCTCCCACGCCAAGACTCCCCACGGGGTAACGAGATGCGGGGGATCAGCGTAGTTTAAAAACAAGGTTGGCAAATGACGATGGTAACGCTTGATACAACGCTTGTGATTGGTGCTCTTAGGATTAGAGTGGTAGACACTTGTACGGAAAAGTAGATAGAGTGACAGATCTGCCGGTGGAATTACTAAAAGTCGGTATGGCGCCGCGGCGGAAAAGCACCAGCGTCTTGGGGGGCCTTTGGCGAGCGAATCAGAGAACACCGAGAGACTTTTGGGGGAGAGGTTCATCTGCCGTGGATGACGTGGATTGAGATCGGTGTTCTGCCCGTATTCCTGGGAAGTGCTACTTATTGCCCGTTCGGGGTTCATGACCCAGTCCACGAATGTAGTCCCATGAACCTTCTAGATTGACCAAATTGTTACATGTACACAACTTCCAAGTGTACTGCTGTCTATCAACCACCTAAATACCAGAGTCACCCTCAAAGAAATCCTTCTCCCCATCCATCCACGTCTCCCAAACCTTGCAAACCCTCTCCGCCTCAATCATATTCGGCGAGCCAGCAGGGAATAACTTACTCGCATCTCCCTGCCTTTCCAGAACCTGCATAGCCAAACCTTCAGAGGCATGGCGCGCAATATGGCAGTGCATCAGCCAGATACCTGGGTTATCTGCCTTGAACGCAATTACTACAAAGCCGTTGCGCGGGAGTAGGACAACATCACGCCTTGGTGGATTGTCAAGCTTCAGGTTTAATCTGCTTGGGTCGTAGGTTTGGTTCTCCTCCTGTTGTAGAAGCGCGAAGTCATGGCCGTGAAGGTGAATCTGATATGGTGAGTTGGGGATCATGTGGCCAGGGTTGGGTACGTACTGGGTGAGCGCCGGTACGAGCACTAATGCCTTCTATCGTGAGAACAAAGTAGACCTACGACGGTTAATCATGTTACCTGAGAATATTTGAAGGCGGTTGGTACATACCCATTCTTTCTCAGTATAATCCTCAGGAATCACCACCCACTTCGGAGGATAAGTGTCCCTCGGCTCATCCAGATGAAACATAACAGGGTCAGAGTAGTTGATCTGCAGTGGTCTAAAGTTCTGACCAGGCCTTTGAAGACCAAATGTAGCGACTGGGTACTCTTCCTTGAACTCAGGTGTGTTCTTGGCGTTTGGATCAAAAGTAACATTGAACCGCTCACCGTTCCCATCTGCCGCTTGGGCATTGGCCGCTGGACCGATATACCAAGGAATCTTGGGTCGAAGCGAAGTATAAGTCTCGTCTGAGCACGCTTTGCTAATGTTGACCCAAGGCTGAGAGGAGGGAAGAGCTTTGTCAGAGTGATTGTATCGCAGGATGCCGGTCTTTTCATAGCCGTCACCTCCTGGGGCTATACCACATGCATCAGCGACCCAAGTCCTGATCCAGAAGTTTCCATCATCTGGGATCTCATTGACATCTCCGGCCAGGGGATTAGCTTCAACAATGACGTTGTACCTTTGGCCGATACCAATCAACACCGAGGTGTTGAAGTACGGCTCGATGGGGACGAAATCCGAAGTGACGATCTGAAGCCAGTGGTTATCAATGGAGAAGACGAGTGTTGAGTCAAATGAAGTATTGATAAGACGGAGCAAGTATCTCTTTGGACGGCTTGGCTTATCTGTTGGAGTTTTGTTGAAGTATAACTCATAGTTATCGGGGATAGGTAGAGTTGGGGTGTAGCCGTAGTGGGAGACGTTGCCTGCGCCGTTGAGAAGGATGGTCTTGTTGGAGAACTGTGAGCCAGGGAAGAGCAGTCTAAATGCACTCTCGTGAGCTGAATCTTGGTCAGTACAGGTCATGGGAAACAGGTTGGGGTAACGTACACCAATCCGTCATGATCAGTGGCCTCTTGGTTGCATCATAGGGTGCAGATTGAGGGCCATGAATTGTCTGGGCCATCAGCGCATGCTTCATGGGACAGGTTGAGGATGACTTACGATGGGACCTTGAAGACCATCTGCATATTGTACAGAGTAGTGGCTATGATACCAGGATGTTCCGTACTGGGTCGTGTTGAAGATATAGCTGAAGCTATCTCCTGGTGCAATAGGACACTGGGTGATGCCGTTGACACCGTCCATGTCCATGGTCTGGTTCTGACGAATACCATGCCAGTGAATACTTGTGCCATTCCTCTTCATACTATTGATGACGGTAATATTGAACGTCTACACTATGGTTAGTCGCCGTGGGCGCCTCTGCAGTAGGGTGTAAACTCACATCTCCCCAACAAGCCTCAAGCCAAGGCCCAGGATACTCTCCATTGAACAACTTCGCCTCAGTAAAGTTCTGTCCATCAGCATTATACCAACTCTCCGTAATATTAAGCGTATAATGCCTCATAATTCCCTTGGGCGCAAAGTTCTCATAGTTAGTATGGATGTTGAACTCTCTCCCATCAGGATGTCGAAGCCAACATTCTCGATTCTCTGGAATCGAACATTGTACGAAACCTGTCATCTCTGGGTACTCGCAGAGGAATTCATGGTCACCTGGTGGGGGATGAAAGATGGGGAAACCAGGACTGGGGTCTTCAATGTGAGTGTGAGGATGATTGGGGCGCAGAGGATGTTGGTATGAGGTGGAAGGGGAGGTGGGCCACATGGTTAGCCATGCGACTATACTGACGCAGGCGTGCCATACTCGCTCGATGAGAGCCATTTTGAGAACGTTTTTAGTGGTTTGGGGCCGATGGTTCTGTGCTTTGTGAGACGGGATTTAAATAAGAACGCCTCGTCCTTGCTCATGTTCGTCACGCGGTCATCCCAATCTTGTTATCGGAGAATATGCAGGCTTATGACGGCAATCACATACATAAGTTCCCGTCGTAGTCATCAAATC